CAAGTTTAAGTACTCATTCGAAATACAATTTAACGTTCGTTAATTTCACAAAAAGTAAGTTTTTCGGTAGAAGGCACCGTTCAGGAGCTATAGGTTAAATAAATCTTGCTTTTTTGGCTGGTAAAAGTTCTACCTATGTAGTCTCTGTCAGCATTTTTTTAAAGGTTTAAAACCATATTAAAAACATTAAATAAAAAATAAAAACTTTTCCTACATTTTTCGCAACATAATTCACATTTCGATCCTCAAGTCACTGGACTAATATTCTTTAAATTCCTAGGCATTTTTTAAAGCAGCGGTTCTGGAATGATGGACATGTTCATTTCATTTATTATTATTAATAACAAACACTTTCATAATTCACATTAAAACCTTTTCTGGTATGACTACCCTATGTAGTCCCTGGCTATTATTATTCGTATTTTTTAAACATGTTGGGAACGTCAAGATATCAGCTGTTCTATAAACACGATTTTGTCATTCATTAGGTTGACTGTCACTGTTTTCACAATACTATCATGACAGAAACCGTCATCGTGTAACCGAGGCCTTGCAAATTTGTTTTATCTACTCCAATTTATACATAATGAGATAAAACAACTTTGTAAATGTAAAACGTTAAATATTTTTCTAGTTTACATTACAAATGTGCATAATTATTCTTATGCTGCATTTATGTAGTTTACTATATTTAAGTTAATAAGTTATAATCCTTGTTCTATGATCCATTTCCTTTAGTTTGTGTTGGGAGGAAAAAACATTGCCAGATCAGGTATATTAATCAAATAATAACTAGCGAGTATTATTAAGAATCCCGTAATAACGTGAGTATATGAAACGGCTCCTGCTTGTGGTTCCAATATCACTGTTAGCTCAAACATAGCATTGGCGTAGTGCCATGAGTACGATCCTGGGAGTGTTTCTATAGCAGACATAGTAGAACCCATTTTTTTTTCTTTAGGTTAATTTCACATTTATGATTACATTATATGTTATAGTTGCAAAATGTATTCAATACTCTAATAGTAAAAAAAAATATTTCGCACCTTAACTGTGTGCGAGAACTTTCAATGCGTTTTAATTGGATTTTCAAAATAAAATAACTATGGTAATCATAACAAATAAAATTGAGTTATTACTCAAAAACAATTGTAATGGGCGATAAATTCGTAATTAATATTTTATATCTCTATTTTATAAAAAAGTTTTTAGTATACGTCATATTTTATTTTATTTTAGTATTAGGAGAGTAGGAGATACAAGAGCTCTCCTATTGGCTCTTTAATTAGCTCTAATACTGCAGCTGCTCATTTAATTACATATGTATTGAGCTCCTTTAATCTCCTACTCTCCTAATACAATATAAAAATTTTAGACTAATGTTTATATGGGAAATAGTATTTATTCATCTGGAGGTGGTAGCTAGATTTTACCACCATTGATTTTAAGTGACAGCAGTTTAAGTTCGATCTGTACATTTCCCCTTGAATACAATATATTAATTTTTTTTTCCCTATGCATAAGTAATGCCTGTTTGATCAGCCATGCCTACTATGCTTGACCAAATTATAATTATTATGAAACAGAAAAGAAAGCACAATATGACGTACAATGTAAATATTAGAAATAAAAGGCTCTAATTATTGTTGGGCTTATATGAAGCTGGACGAAGTCGAATATGGTTAAAATTTGTAAGTAAGAATAATTATAATTATAATAGATTAATTATTATTAATATAATTATTAATAATTAATTGTAGATTGACAATTAGGCTCGATGTATAATATAATTTTTTAAATATATTAAAAATTTGTCCGAATTGTGGTTTCGTTCAGTTTATTTTATGTTGATAAAAAATAAAAACTCCCGATCTAAACTATAGAATATATGTAAATTAAAGTTATAGAATTTGAGCAATGAATAGTACAATTAAATTAATAGTTGTATAATTTGTGAAACGGGAGTTGTCCGTTAGGCAGACAAAGGGTAACCCCCTTGTCAGTAATAATTATCGAAATATTATCAAATTTAATAATTTAAGACAGGTTCTTAAGACTATATATATATATATATATATATATATATATATATATATATATACTTTATATATTTTTTTCATCTTAATACTTTATAACGATATATTATACATTTTAATATTTCCACATTGCTTAATATATATTATTATTAAGAACAATACTTCGTAAACAAAGATTTTCCCATCATTTCATAACATTTTTATTCTGATTAACTGTTAATTCCTCCGTTATTTATTCATTAAACTTTCTCTCTTTGAGAACAAAATAACTCAGAGAAGAGACAAAAATAATTCCAAGGCTATTTTTAAAGGATTCCAAAAACAAAACGAGCCTCTTCAATACCTGAAAACATCCTTCAATTCACTCTTTACTACCATTTCAGGCATCGTCAGAACGGGAAAGGTAACATCCACTCTCGTAGCAATAGTCTAAAAAAACCCAAAAAATAGTTCATCTTTGCCTTTTGGTCTTGTCAAACCTAATTTTACATCCCAAGATTCTAAATTCCTGCTAAATTCCTTTTGGTATTTGTCATGAAATTTTTATTGATCTATTAAACTCGCTTAGCAAAATATCTATAAATAAAAATCTGTACAACTACTACCCATATGAATCTCGGACTCAGTAATTTGTAAGGAAGTAGTGTTACCAACGTTTCTGGGTATAGTAATGAAGTAGATGATATATCAGAGATTATACTCAACCATCAGGTTTTCCCGTTAATTAATTAAGAGTAAGTAACTCGTTTATTAGAGAGTGGATATGTCCCAGGAGTGTATTCCGAACCCAGTTCCGGTAGAATAGGAGCACTGTACATTCCTCACTTAACTATCCCTAATCTATTAATTACTCTACATTTCTAGGTAATTGTGAGAGTAGTTACATTATTAGAAAATTGGGATAATATTTTATTGAGAATGGCCGAGTTTTTTTTAATTGATATTTTTGATAGAGATAGAGGGTGAGTTTCCTATTGATATTTTTAGGACAAACTTTTAAAATTATCGCGAAACAAAATGATATTATTTTCTATAAATTAATCACACACGATCTTTTATGCTTGATTAATGTATTAAATAACATCCAAATTTTAAATATTTGAGTATTTTACTCCCAATGCAGATGTTCAAATTTTCACTCCAAGGAATCACATCAAATTTTGCAGCTTAATTTTATTAATTCAAATTTTTTTTATTTATTTATTTATACATGATATTTACAACTGTATTAAAAAATTAAATACATTAAGTAAATAATTCAAATTTAAAAATGGATTGCTCTATTCTCATGAATTTCATATATCATAAAAGATCTTCGAGAGTAAAAATAAATTAGAATATTAATAAGCGACAGTATCTTAGCAACTTTGTATACGTGTAATTGTTCTGCCTGCCGAAGTAAATTATCGAATTAGACATCTCTCCAGGGAGTATTTCAGTAACCTTTGCGTTTCTACTTCGATTGTTTTCCTACAAGTTGTCATTTGCGGGGTAAACTAAAACGGTATACATGTTTTTTCCCGGGTCATCCTCAATGGAAGCTGTACACAGTGGAGGCATAGAAGGAGCCGTACGATAAAGGGATAGTGAAAAAGTGGATCTTGGCAAGGGGCTGACGGCCGAAATAGACGGTCGCAATAATAGTCACTGCGTCGCTCCCTCGCGCTTTAATTGCCGGCATCTCCAGGCCCTCTCTTCCAAGATCGATTCTCGTTCCGATAATACCTCTTTGGTTTGAAGAAAGCAATCGATAATGCAATATTTTGTCTCTTTGAACGAAACATGACTCAGAAACTTGAAATGGTATTTTTTACGGCACTAGTTTCCTTTCGCTACTCCAAGATGGTGGTCAGTTTCAAGATCACCTCGAGCATTCTATTCCGGATTACCGATGAGAGCCAAAAGTAGCCGAACATTGACGATACTCTTTACGCCGGTATGGTTTGGTCTTGACCAAACCAGTGGTTAAGTTTAAGTTAGCTTATATTCCTAGATTTTTAATACCTGCTCATGTATATTCACTGGCGAATCTATTGGGGCTGAAGCAGGATGGGAAATATTTTTTTTTTCATTGGTCCTTATATGTTTATGTGAGTGATTTAAGTTTGAACGAACACAATATGTTCTATTTTTACATTATAATGCGTTATATAGCTACAATATATTAGCTCGAGTCAAAATATCAGAAATTCGACTCTGAAAGCATTATTTTTCCTTCTGCAATAACACTTTTTTTTTTTGTTTCAAGGAACAATTAAACTTATACTTATTTTTCTTGCAGAATAATTACCAATATACACACATTAAAAAAAAAAAAAATTCTTAATCCGCTACTGTGTGATGAACTATTTTGTTATTGTTTGATATTGTTCGTTTGCTTTCAACACAATATGGTAAAATATTTAATTTAAATTATCACTCCCTCACCGATAGATTCGGAGAAAATGCTTAATTAAAATAAACCTACTAAAATTAATTTGAAATCCTCCTACTCACTCACTGATTGATACGGAGAAAATGCCTATAATTATGAAATATATCTGGAAAACACGCATATTAAAATAATATGATACTGAGAATATTCTGATTGCCACGAATTATTTTTATTCATAATTAATAATCCGATCATCAGATCGCAATCCTATAGGTTATGTTTATTTCAATATTTTAACAAATATAATTGAGTTAAAAATTCCCTCTTAAATTTAAATTTAAATTCCCTCTTGTAGATAATTTACAACCAAGAGTTGGGGATCGGTAGGCTCCGTCCTTTTTCGAACACATTCGGGTATTTTCGGGAATCTAGGATTGGTGTGCTCTGACCTATCTTGATACCGACAGCCATCTGGGAGTAGAAAAAGGAAACCAGTATAATTTTTCCTAATACAGAAATGTTATTATTCGCCCATATGTATGAAAAGTGTCAATATTTTATATTAATTTTTTTTTTTTTTTTTTTTACAGGTCATCGAGTCGATGGGAGGAAGAACGGACTGGGATCGAATTGAAGAGGAGGAGGTGGTCGCTGCTAAGAAGCTAAAACTTTCAGACGACTACGTGCCGGGACCACCTCCTCCATACATCCCCCCTCAATATGATTTCCAATATTACACATGGATCGACCCATACGTTAGATCGGCGTTCAGACCATGGCATACATTTGCCCAGATTGACGAAAATAAATCAAACTTCCGAGATAGGTGAGCTACTTTAATTTGGTATTATGTTGTATAGGATAACTAAATACAAAAACAGAATTTAGTTTACAAGCGTCACGTCCTTATGACACGTGGGCCAAGATCACCTCAATCACACTTTATATCAAGTGCCGATAATATTTATACTGTATTTTAAAGAAATCGATTGTTTAATATACCTTTGAGAAATAATATATATAAATATTCCTAGCGTTTTAATTATTTTTATGTTGTTGTCATTGATCAATCCAAAAAAAAGTCCCCGGAGGTCATGATTATCATTATCTTTAGTCGAAAACGAAAATTATGTTAATTTTGATATTTCATGATCGGTACGCGCATAAAAGTAGTGCCTCAACCCAGGAATAAGTAGGAGTTGGGAGATCGCTCATCTCCGCATTCTTTCGGACATTCTAAATACAGTTTGATCGTGTGATCTTGTCCCATGCATCACCTGGACGTGGCACTTATGAACTAGTACCCTATTTAATTAAGCAGTGCAGTGTTCTTGCCACTTAGGACGTTTATTTATAATTAGTACCGTACAATAACAGTAATTAGACACACTCCGGTAGTATTTTCAGTGTTTCCTCCTTCAATTCGCATAAATTCAATATTTGCCACATGACAAATTTTATGGAGTACTCATTGATGATATACGTCTGACTTATAGTAAATGAAGGTGATTAATATTTGACATTCTAAGAGCTTAAAAAGTTTTACTTATTGTTTCTATTCTCTGGACTCTTCAATTATAATTATTATAACATTAGTAATTATAATTTTCGTACTAGCTCACAATCACTTCGGTCACACTTGTTCTTACGGTCAAGTGCCGAATGCTTCCTGATTTATCCGAAAGAGAACGAAGGCGATCGATCTCTTGAGTCAATTACTAATAACTTTTCCGCCATCACCGGCGGATCTACGGGGGGGGGGAGGGCTTTCGGGCTGAACCCCCCCCCCTCCAAAATGCTAAAATATAACCATGTTTTTTCGAAAAAAATATTTAAAAAGTATCTCTTAAAGTAGTATTGTTCGTGTAATTACATTTAAAAGGGCTTTAGGAATCACTTAAACACCATTTCATATAGGTAGTTTGCTTCTTTCTTTTTTTCCAAAGTAATTATCGTTATTTTTATGAAAAAAAAAAAACTTTCGAGCTGAAGCCCCTCCCCCTAGTGTCTGCCATTAAAGTACATTTATACCCTTAACTATGTACAGTCTTACAGCATGGGACGATTTTTATCTTTTGAGTTTGTTAACTTTTCCATTGTAAATATGTTTATAATTCTGTGTGTTGTCAAATAATATATGTATCCAATATTCTTATCAAATGATAAGATTACTCAAGTTACAACGCTACTACAAAATAGTGTCCCTTACATCGAAGAAATTCAAAAAGTTGCATAAACTTCATGCGCAATCTCAAATCAGACAGTATTTTCATAAAAAGCACCCCGACTAGAAAATAGTGAACCCTTATATCGAAGCAATCTAAAAGTTACATAAACTAGAAAGAAAAATGCGCAATTCTAAAAAAAAAGACTAGCTGAAAGAAAATTTAAATTCAATTATTCCAATTTTTATTGGAAAACCCCAAATAACGAATAAAAAGATAATAGACAACTTCAGATTATTTATTATCCAAATGATTAAAAAAATCCTTTAATACAGTTATAAAATATAATATACCATAGTAAATACGTATTTACAGCTACTAAATGTAAGCACGGGTCAATAAAAATGTTATACCTAAAAGCATTTTTTTTAACAGGTGTTGAAGGACGATTCAAACATCGTTTTATATATTTTCTTTATTTTTCTTCCAAGGACAAATTTTTATTCAACAAAAAATCATACAAAAATAATTCGTTAATAAGGGATACGCCGGTTTTTCAAAAACGCGTCTGGGAGAAATGTGTGGTTAAGACAAGAACTGACATAACATTCAGCACCATTCGACTGTTTTCGGCTGTTTCTGAACAAGTATGACCGAAATGATTGTGAACCACGTGTAATCCCTGCGGAACTCATGAACTAGACCCGTCGAATTTGTAAAAATTAATAAAGTTTTAAAATAAATTTTAATAAAATATGAAATAATTTCAATGCAAACAATATAAAAATTAACCAAGGCATCAATTTTGATATAAAGTTTGAAACAATTTTTAAACCGTTAAAATTAATTTTTAAATGAATTAGAAAAATCATTTATATTTGTCATTTGTGTAAATATTTTATTTTATAAATTAATAAACAACAAACAAAATTTTGTTAAGTTTTAGTATTTATCTAGTAGTATTAAGCATTCCATTTTGCCATTTTATAAAAGTCCTCATGAAATATTCAGAATCAAATTCATGAAACAATTATTTCTCAATAGACTAATGTTTTGAATTATGTTTTTTGTTATTATTTTTTTTTTATAGGGTAATTTTAATTTATTTATTTTAGATTAAATAATCCATTCATTATAGCAAAAAAAATAGAAGGACTATTTTAAACTCTTATTTTTCATTTTCTTCATTGAAATAACTTCAATAAAATTGTTATTTTTTACTCATTGAATTTTAACAATTTTTGTGGTTATTGAACAACCTATATCTATAAGCCCAATATTAAAATGTGTATGACATTTAATAATATCGCTTTAATTACAGTATACCAGCCTACCTTAACCACGAGCCACCTGTCTTACTGCATCCAGAAAGAGTAGTCCCAATGAGTGAAAGTGAGAGGTTCGAACGATCTTACCAGCCAAATGTTGCCCTCGCACCCCGATCTACAATTGAAAACAGGAGGACAGAGGTAAGTATTTGAGTATTAGTGAAGAAATTAGGCTAGTTAAGATGAGTCTTTATATCATCATAATTTTAATTTTCTATTTTAGATACAGCCTGAGATTGTGAGGACTGTTGAGGAAAAACCAGCACCAGTAAGGGCACACAAACCCTTATTTCATCCTGAAATTGAACTGTCGACTGATACAGATGATAGTGCATCTGAACATCATGAGAGTGGTGGTATGTATGTTCCCTGAATTTAAAATCTTCTAAAAGTTTATTAATAATTACAAATTCAAATTTATGTCAAAATTTTTTTTTAATCTGAATTAATTTTGAAATTCAATAATTTATTATTGTATAATGTTAATAATAATAAATAATGTTTTTTACAATATATTTTAATGTATTTGAATTGGTATGGCAGGTAGTGCAGTGGAACAAGTGGCGGCTGTTTTCGCAGCTCTAAGTGATGCTAAAGAGACAACCCGACAACTTGTTGTAGGACTTGTAGAAAGGCTGGCAGGCCGCCTTGACAGCATTGAAGCAGAAAACAAGAGACTGTTGAAGGATAATGTATCGCTTCTTCAACAAATAAATAAGGTATGGATAATTAATGTCAAGTCAGAGAAATCTATTTTAATTTTCATAATTTGTTTTCTTCTTTTTGATCTTGTTTCTCCTCCATACCTCGTCTGTCGAAGACCTCTTAAAAGAGTAAGACTAAGTCCTTCTTCACAAGTATTCTTTGGGGTCTCTTTTCCTTTGTGACAGATTTATAGACAGGTCTGATTTTACAATGTTGCAACTTTCAGGACATGTTTTCCAGCCAGCTCAGGCTATGTTTTAGTGTTTCCATGATAAGTCTTAAATTGAGGCTAACTCAGATCATAATTATCTTGATATAATCTCTTCTCATCTTTCTTTCCACCATCCATTACTTGAAGCTGACTCATGTGTTTAGACTTAAGTGTCCAAGACACTCTTGCAAGGGTAAATATCAGAAGGAATTTGTTTTTATAGACTAAAAACTATTTTAGTGTGCTTTGAAATTTCTTTCTTCTTCAGGAAACTGCTTATGAGAATTAAATCTCCTTCCTGCTACTCAGATTTCTCTTTTATCTCACTGTCTGTCCATCAAATTCAATTTTTCTTATCATTTATTCATAATTATAAAATTATTGATAATAATTCCGATTTCAATAATTTTTGAAAAGATATTAAAAAATCATTTTTTTCTTATTTATATTGACTATAAAATACCTTTGTTATCTCCAATATACTATATTTTTTTTTTAATTCTTGATAATGATTTTAAATGTATTTATTAAACAATAACTTTTTATCATATTTCAATAGACAATCATTAATGTTTTGTTTTTTTAATGTTGTAGGCCAAAGAATCTAGGTCAAAAGGTTTGCCTTCGAAAAAAGAGCCTGAAGACAAAAATGAGATTGAGACTGATTTAAAACCTTCATGTTCAGACACCAAGCCAGTCTTAATCAAGTCCCCAGCTCCAGCAGAAAGCCCTCCACCTACTTTGCCAAAAGAACCAGCACCATCACCTTCAAAGCCTGAAATCATCACTACAAAAGTAGAAGATAAACCTGAACAACCCTCTTCAGAATCTGCTGAATGTCAGCCGATAGAGCCTGTCGAACCATGTGATAATAAAGAATCATCAGTAGGGAGTAGGGAGCCTCCGAAGGAACAGACACACAGAACGATCGTCCGGAGTAGCCCGGTGTCTGTTATTACATCTCCTACATCCATAAAAATCGAGCCTCCTTGCGAGTGACACCAACCTCATATTGTTTCTTGTTAGTGTTCTTCCAGGCCTCCGATCATTCTGTTCTGTGGGGCAAATGGAAAATAGTACAAATTTGTTTGTCACTGTCCATTCACTGCCTTGATGAATTTGTATTTTTTTTAATATCATTTCGATTCATCCCAGTGATCATGAAATCTAAGACAAACATTTTTTTGACAAGTTCTTAGAGAATATCATTTCTTGTATACCTAATGCATTTAAAAACAGAAATGAAATATTTTACTCTGTTGTATATTGAATCAAATATGCGCTTTTACAATATTGAGAATAAAGATATTATTCTGTGAGATTTGATCATCTCTAGAATAATAGTATTGTATTGCCAGAAAAATTTTATATATGCCAAATTTGAATATAGGTATAATTTTTCTCCAATCCTTATTCGATTTGGAGTCTGGTTAATTATTTTGTAATATTTATATAATAATAATTGAGTACAAAGAACTTTGAATAACTATTTATGTGATATCATTTTAATGATTATTACGTAATATTATTTTCTTGAGTTTTATTTTAAATGACTGAATCTTTATAAATTTGTATCATAATTGTTAAAAAAAAAAAGATACAAGTTATGACTAACTGGTTTTACTATTTTAATTATGTTTTCTTGCTAAATACTTAAACAGCCGTATATTGTGCCATTTTTTTATAAATATATATTGTTAATATTTGTTATAAAATGACTACTATAGTTATATGGCTATTATTTTTATACAGTTGGCATTTCTTTTAAATGCGTTCTTGACTAAAAGTATTTGTTTGTGGTCCACTGCTTTAGTATTTACATCATTTGGGCCAATTATGATTTATAAATATGTAGTGCCTCTCATTATATTGTGTTATTATTTAAGTCATTGTAACTGTAAGTAGTTATTGTCATTTAAAATAAGTTATAATTGACGGCTTGTTATAGTTTTATGATGTTAAAAGTACAAATCTTTTTCGGGTGCTTAATAGTTAAATAAGCACTTTTTATGTAAAAATATCAATATGTATATATGTACATTATTCTTTCTACTACTTCCTTTCTGACTTTTTTTTTGTTTGTAATATTCATTTGAAGATTTTAAAGAATTCTTTAGAATACAAATAAAAATTATTTTTGGTTAATCCTTAATATTCATTCATCTTGATCTCAAAATAACAAAGCAGTTTTTCTTTTAATTTTTATCTTTGTTAGTTTCTTCTTTTTGTGTTTTTTTTTTTTTTTCCTTTTCTTTATTGTTTAAAGTTCATTTTATGGTGCTATCATCAATTTATGTTCCATTTGTGTTGAAAATTTGTTAGTTATTTTAAAACTGTATGTGTATATTAGAAATCTGAACCAAAGTTATCTCATTTTATATATGTACGGAAATATATATATATATTTACATATATATGTGCTCATGTCAACAATAGCTTTAGGAATGGTACAAATGTTTCCCTACAATTGGCCTTTGGCAAGCAAAATAATACTTTACTTATTGTAGAAATCTGTACCTTTTTGAAACTTTCAGTACAATATTGGGTGCAAATTAACTTAAGGTTATTTGCAGAAGCAGTTAAAATTGTATGTATAGATAGTTTTCCTTCTTCAACAATATAAGTGGATAGTTTGTAGGTACATTATTATAATAAAACTCAAACAAATTTTTGTCCCTTTTGGTTTTGCTGAATGGTTAATCACTGCCAAATTAATCAAAGTTTTAAACTTCTTTACCCCTTGCTCAAAAGTTTTGATTTGTAAAGTACAATTAATGTAACTTAAAATAGCAATACAAAATTATTTTCTATTTAATGTTTGCTGTTAAACTGCAGATGTAATATACCCTTAAAAGTAACCTAATGAAGTGAAACTGTCTTTTTGTAATAATTTTTAAAAAAATGTAAAAAAAAAAGGAGCTTTTGTGTACTTAATATTGAGGATAGAATTTAAAGTCTCTTGCAGATATTTTAGAAAAATCATTTGATGTTCAATGCCTTGTTAATGTCATTTTCATATTTCATGCACCTTTTAATATATTGGCACACTCCTTTCAAAATTATGGAAAATGGCCAAAACTGTTTCTTTTATTACAAAATAAATCTCAATGTTAAGTAATTTTTGTTGCCTTTTGTTTAGTTTGTTTTATTTTATTTTTTTAATAATAAGGAATTATTGTTTTTTAATTATTTATATTAATTTTATATTCTGACTCCTTCTTTTAAACATGTTTAATGGCATTATGAATATGTATTTTGTTCAACTTAATAATACAGATAAATAATAAAATAAATATTCTTATAAACAACTAACATCCCGGGACTTCAGTTTTGAGTTTAGATTTTTTAATTAGCCTTTATAAGACCCTTTTTTTGTTTTGTAATTTTCAGGAAGTAGTACTGAAAAATTACTGATTAACTATAGAGGTTTTAATTTCTTATAAAATGGATTCGTAAGAAAGGTATTCATTCCCATTAAGTCGGAGGTCTCTAAATTACAATGAAGGAGAGGAACATTATTTTTTATCTAAAGTATAAGCTCTCTCATAAACTCGAAATAATGTTTTAATTAGTGACATTTCTCTTTAAAAATGAATTTGATAAAAATTAATTAAATTTGTAAACAGCATCATTTTTGGAGAATTATTATTTTAATTAGATTTATTTGAGACATTTTTCAGATATATATGTTCTAAAAAAAGAATTATTTATTGTCAATTAGATAGAACATGAGAAAGAGGGCTGTGAACGAGAGAGTTGAATCTTTTTTAGTCAAATTCTTTTTATTTTTCCACTACTTTTTTCTTCCCAACATATATCTTGTTAGTTAAATTTTATTTTGTGCAATCTTATACCGAGGAAGAGTTGGAATATTTTCATTTTAAGCTGGTTTAATTGGCAATGGTATAGAATGAATATAAGTAAGTCCTTAATGCAAGGATATTAAAAAAAGAATTAAAAAAAAAAAGAAACCGTTGTGTGTTCGTGTTCAAGTCATCCCTTTAAGAATGAATGCCTATTTTATTGTTACTGTATAGTTATAAAATTTTATATTTATTAGGGTATAGATATTGTAAAAAGAGCACTGTCATTGTAATTTTGTGTGTTACTGAATCTTCAAAACTTTATTTCATAGTTTGTGCCAATATTCAGCTTAAAAATGCTTAGTAGCAGACATCTTGTAAATAAACGTAATTTCATTGTTAGTGTTTCATAACAGTTAAATGAGATATAAATTATACTCAGATACCTCATAATATATAAATATATATATATGTTTGACTTTACATTGGAGTCTTTTAAAAAAAATAAGAAAGAAGAAAGATTGAAATTGTTGTCAGAGGTATGACAAAACATTTTCCAATAAAGAATATAAATTAGTAAAAGTTTTTTTTTTAAATTCATCATTCATTATTTTACCCTTTTTATTAATTTATTTGTAACTTTGAAGCTGTAATAATGATTTATCTTTTTTTTTTTCTTTTTTTTTACGAACATTTAAATTGTTTTCTCACATATATATAAATTCATTCTCATATTCAAAAACTATTTAAACTTCTGGAGGCTTGTTCACTTTTCACTGTTCAAATGGTAGCGATATGAAAAGCTCTTAGGTACGTAGAGACAACTGAAACTACCAATCGGGCCATGGTAGCAGACTTCATTATTAGCCATTGAAAGCTACTCTAGCAAAATAAATAAGAAACTTTTGGTAGCCACCAAGGAAATAGTTTAAACAAATTAGATTCATCTGGGTCCCTTCTCATTGCTGGAAAACTGGAAATGAGCAGACTGGCCAAGTAGCCAACATAGCAAGAAAGGCAGGGACAACTCCGGTGGAAACAATTAATGAAATTCCTTTAGATCACTATATAAAAAAAATTAAGATGTATTAAAAACTTGGTAAAATAAGAGGGAGCAAAAGGATTCCAAATTAAGAGAGATAAAAAATCAATGCTCAAAGTGAGAAACCTCTTATCGGTCCTCAAGGAAAGAAGAGACAGCCCTCTGCAGATTAAGAATTGGACATTGTGAGTTCTTACATACATAACTTCGTTCCTCCGTTCCTCAGCACACATTCTACAAGACTGCCCTACACTGAAAAATATTAGGAAAAATTTGGATATGGAACCAAACCTACCAGAAAATTTAAAAGACAATGAAAAAGCTGTAAAAAAATATCAGCATTCCTGAAAGCTTTGAAAACGTATCATAGAATTTAACTTGAAGGTGTTACCATTGACCCAGCAGGATAGAGGCAACAAAAAACAAAATAAATATTTTTTAAATACATATTTTATCAAATTACTTCTTTTTTTTTATAAATTAGTCAAGTTATGAGAAGAGTGCTGGAAATCATATCCCAGTGTTATCTTTTATTAAGTCACACCCATTAACATATCTACTTCAATGTCACATTCTCCTCCTTTTTAAAAGACTTGTGAAAGAAAATCTGAAACAATAGCATTCAGCATGGTTACTTCAATGGTTGTATCCCCCCAAAGCAACTAACACTTAATTTAACCCTTTACTTCTTAACACTACGCACTGTAGGACTGTAAATGGGCCTGAACAATAATAAAGTTTGGCAGAGGATAGGGTTTTGGCTGATCTTCTGAAGCATGGTGAAAAGGAATTACAAAGAGCCCTATACAAAATAATTCCCATCATCTGAATTGGAAAAAATTTATTGAATCAGTTTCAGATCTAAAATAATTATTATTGTTAAAAAGCTGTTTTAATTATAAAATAAAAATCTGAGAGATTGAAAGGTTTTTTTTTTATAAACTTAATCCTATATTGATTAAAAAATATAATTATATTAAAATATCATAAAAAATAAATAAATAACCTAAATAAGGTTGTTTATCATTAAACTGATAATTAAGTGTATTTTAGTTAATGGAACATTTTTAAAAATTAAATTCACAAGGCTGAATAAGCTTCAACCTTGTCTATTTAATTTATCTTAAAATAAACCTTGAATCCTCTAAATAAATGTATATCATATCCTTCAAAAGTAAGAAATTGAGAAGAAAAGCATAAATATTTTTCAGTTGGAAGCACGTTATTAATTTACAATCAGTATACTTGATTAATGCTCAACTTGATTCTTAAATATTCTTCAATACTGGGTCCCTTTCTTTTTACTACAACAACAACCAGAGACTATTTTTATTTATTAATGATTTTGTTTATTCATCTTATAAGTGATACATTCAGTAATCTTTAAAAAAAAAAAATATACCTCATTTAATTTGATCAAATGATAATTTTATTCATTGAATTGTATTTTTGTTGTTCCTGTTCTGCCTTAAATGCCCTTGCATACCTTTTCTGGGAACTGGCTGATCAAACAATCAATTTTTCAAAAACTATTAATTTTGTTCAGTAAAAATTATGAACACGCCTTTTTTAAAATTAATATTCCTATATTTTCAATCCTTAACTGTCCTGTAAAAATTGTTGAACCATCTCATCTGATATTTAAAATAACTTTCATATCAAAAAGTTCTAGACATTCCTTAATCTTCCCATTAAGGCTATATATTCTTCTTTCAGGTATTTCATCTTTCTTCTGTGATTCAATATGCCTTGTGAATTGTAACCCAACTCATATTTCCATACATTAAGTTTGCAAGAAAATCTTATACATAAACATGTGGTTTAATAAACTCTTCCCCAAAATGAGATTATAAATCGAATAATATTTTTATTTACTTCTTCTCAGAAAAATGACTTTTTTGTCAATCCTTTCTGACAAATAAAAACCTGTTCAGAAAGGCATATAATTATTTGTATTTCCAATGATGGATTGGATACAATATATACATAGATCTAGATATATAGTATTTGTAGATAATTAATAATAATAATCCAGTTGGTTAGATATAGTTCAAAAGCATAAAATAAATTAAATGATTTAGACACAGTAACTAAATAAATATTGAAGTGAAAAATGATTTTCAGAATGCTGACATATAACTAGTTGACAAAATTACTTTGTAATTACTTATATTGAATATCAATCGATAAGTTTCATTTAATGAAACTAATTGAATGTTGATAGCTCCAATAAATTTAAAATTTCACATAACACAAGGTTACACAGTTTGTACAACTATATTGAAACATCAATTACAACTTTAATCCAATTTATAACTGGGAAACCTGAAATATTGAACTTAAAATGGGTGCTCCAATCATGAAGTTCTGGACTTAATAATTTATTTCTGAAATTTTACAGACAATACAAAATGATTTTATCAAGAAACACAAGAGATGCAGAATCAAATGTACATAGTGCACATATTTTGCTGAAGCAATTTTCATTTTACTAAATAAGAAAATAAAAAAATCTGATTTTCTTAAACATAAATTGAAGTTAATTGGTCGAGTGTTCTACATATCATTGTTAATAGATGGCCAGGAAGCAGTCAATTTTTAAGTTGTTTACTTCAAAGTTTCAAACCAAGCTTGTGAGGAGCCAAAAGTCATAATAAGAAGACCCATGTGTATACACGATGAGAGAGGCTATAAAATGGAATAGGTAATGACTATGGAATACGTAATAAGCTATACAAACTATAAAATAATATTCATGATAGATTTAACATAGTGCTACTGTTAGTGGAAAAGATCGTATTTAACAATTTTCTATGGTGGTCTGCAACTGCAATAAACAGTCTACTACTATGGAAAATAGTATAGAGAAATAAAGTATGAAATTTTAATATTAAATCATAAAGAAATAATCAAACAATAAATATTCAAGAAATCTCTTTGGTAAAAAACTCAATTTTTATATACAACCTTTTGCACTAACATAGCAATATGTAATATTTAATATTAACCAGGTTATTGGCTGTAATATCTTATGTTACTAATCTTTCAACCCTCATAAAGACCCACAAGCTTGGATTGAAAAGTTGACAATAAAAAACTTAAAAATTGACTGCGTCCTGACTATCTATCACCCATTAAACACACAAAATATTAATTTGTTTCTAATAAAATTAAAAATACACAGCATTAATTTTGTCAAATGGAATAAACAAGAAATGAATAAAATTTAATTTATAACCAGGGACTGATAAATAATCATAATCATCAGAAAAATACAACAATTAAAACTTGTTTTCTAATAAATTAATCAATAATAGGACTATTGAGTGAATAAGTATATAAAATATGTAATTTTGTAGTCAAATTATAAGCCAATATTGCTAATAAAGTTTTGTTTTCAATAAATTACTCATTAATAGACAATAATTAAAATGACATTGATAAAATATGAATCATGATAAGTAATTATAATTAAAATCAAAATATTCTCTAAATGTTTTAAATTATTATATATCTTTATATTATTAACTAATTTATATTAAATGGATATAAATTAATTAATAAAAGAGAAGCACAAGTTTTCCATCAAATACGTATATAAAAATTCAGATTTTTAATTTTGACATATTTAAAATTTTAAAATTGAAATTATTTGGTTAATAAAAATGGAATTTCCATATAGTTAAAACTGAATAGATAATATTAATATATAATTCTATTAGCTTCACAATGGATTCATGGAGGGAATTCTATGAAAAGTAGCACCTAGGCAACCGTGAGCAAACATATTTCCATGGAATATGTACTCATGGCCATTCAGTGGAGTAAACTCTAAAGCAACAAAGAGTTGATTGATAGAAGAAGAAGTAACCAAGGTACAATTAAAAAATAGTTCCTTATTAAAAAAATTCATGCGTGTTTAAGACATCACACTGATATTTTCATGTTCTTTAAAAAAATATTTATTATTTAGTTAAACATAACAATTAATAATAGTGAGAAGTGTAATTGAATAAATATCTTCATTATTTTTAAAGGATGAGTGGTGATTTTGTAGCAATATGGCAGGTTCCTCTATCTGATGGTCTACATGATATAAAGTTCGAACATGGTACAGCAACCGGTAAACGTGTAATTTGGGTAGATGGAAAGGTATTAACCATTTAGTATAAAAGATAATTATAGGTTCTTAGATTAACTAAATTGCACTTTATAAATTACTAAAACATTAAAAGAAAAACAATCAAGAAATCAATTCTGAGAAATCAATAGATAAAATACCATTCAAATATAAAACTTTTGTTTAAGGTGATTCTTTGATTCTTTCTCATATATTTTCAAGGAAATTCTTCGCACTGATTGGATGTTCAAACTGGTTGGTGATCAGCCATTCAAAATTGGAGAAACACCTTGTGCAGTGAGAATAGAACCTATTTCAGGCTTCTCTTACCAGTATTCACTTTATGTAGATGGACGTCCATTGGAAGAATTTACACAAAAAAGAGCAACAAGAGTGTGTACATGGAACATTGGTGACACACATCGTATTGTTTTAGGTAATAATAAGAAAATTATATACACTTAAATAAATTATCATCACAATTAAATCAGCCTATTTCAAAACTGAACAGTGACAATCAAACAAAGTAGATTTTTATCGCCAATGTCATTTCAATTTTGATATGAATTAGGCCAAACGGCCACCGAAAGCACATGCACTTGCCTTGCATCGGTACCCTTCTCATATTTCATATAACATTTTTAAAAAAGTATATATAGCACATATAACATTTTTAAAAAATATCAATGTTGATCATGTCAGAGTTGTAAAGAAAAATCGAATATTTGTGTATAAAATCGAATATTTTCCCATACATATTCGATTAAAAATTCTTCCACATCCATTGCAGATTTTACATTGAACCAAAATAAAATAATTTGAGAGGTTGTGCAGTGAAAACAAGCACATAACATTTTAAAAATTATCCAAAATTAAATTAAATTAAAAAATATCCAACCTTCTACTTCAACTTTTGATATTTCTTCAGCTATAAAATCTTCTATGGAACCTCTTCTAACTGAACTTAAATCCCTTTTATCCCCTATTTTAGAACTTCTAACTAAACTAGTTTCTACTTTCATTTCTAATCCTTCCAATGACTAATTCGAAATCATCTTCTCTAAAAATACTCCTATGGAACTCCAATGGTCTGCTCCAACGAAAAAATGAACTGGAAATTTGTTTAAAAGAACATGACATAAACATAGCTCTGATTACTGAAACTCATTTAACAGACAAACAAACATTTAAGCTACAAGATTACGAAACTTACAGAACTGACCATCCAGACCACACAGCACATGGAGGAACTGCAATTATTGTGGACAAGTCCTTAAATCACCATATTCTTCCTGCTGCTTCTACGAATTCCCTACAATACACCAATATTTCTCTAAATTCCTCAAAATTCCAACTCACGATTGCCTCAGTCTATATAGCTCCCAATAAAGTTATATCCACGAATGAATTAAAAGCTATTTTCTCGACAATGGGAAAATCATTCATTGTAGGAGGAGATTTTAACGCAAAAAACACAAGGTGGGGATCTAGAGTGTCCAATACTCGTGGAAAAAGACTACAAAAATGTATTGAAGATTTGAAATTTTCTGTAATTTCGCTATCTCAACCTACTTACTGGCCTACTTCACTATCAAAGTCTCCCGATCTTCTTGATTTCTTTGTCACAAGCTCCTTATCACATGCACATTCCAACGTTTCCTCTCTCCTTGACCTTTCATCTGATCATAGCCCAATTTTACTTGAACTTTCGAACAACCCTTTCGTTAAACCCAAACCTCCAACATTAATTAACGGTTACATAAACTGGGACGACTTTAAACATTTTTTAAACAACAAAATTACGTTAAACACTTTAATTAGTACAGCTGACGACCTCGACAATGCAGTCAACGACCTAACAAAAAGTATACAAGAGGCTATTTGGCATTCAACGAGACCACCAAAGACATACACTAAACCTGCTTCTTACCTACCTCAGCCAATACATAATCTTATAAAAGAAAAACGTAGGATTAGAGCCCTATGGCAAAGAACTAGATATCCATCGTACAAAACAGAACTCAACAAACTAACTAGAAAACTTCACGAAAAACTATTAAAATTTAAAAATGACAGCTATAAAGACTACATAGACACAATAAACAATAGAAATGGATCAATATGGACAACAACAAGACGTATACTAAAGAAAAAAGACCTTCAATACCCACTCCGACGTACAGACAACACTTGGGCAATAACAAGCGAAGAAAAAGCCAATGAATTCGCTAAATATCTTGCACAAGTATTTGGGACAAACAGAATACAGGACAATAATTTTACTGACGCAATAGAAGAAGAACTGACAACACCACTACCCTTATCACTACCCCCACCGGCATTTCATCCGAAAGAAATTTACAAAGAAATCAACAGACTACCAAACAAAAAAGCTCCTGGCTATGATCTAATCACTCCCTTCATTCTTCGACACCTACCTCGAAAAGCTGTTTTGTTTCTTACACATATCTATAACTCCATTTTACGCACTACCTATTTTCCTCTCCTTTGGAAACTCTCCACAATCAAAATGATTGCCAAACCTTCAAAACCTACCACTTCTCCTTCATCCTATCGTCCTATAGCACTTCTTCCAATAATGGGCAAACTATTTGAAAAACTATTACTAAACCGACTGAAGCCTATTCTAGAATATAGTGAAGTGATACCAAATCACCAGTTTGGCTTTCGCTGTTATCACTCTACTGTGCAACAGTGCCATCGGATAGTAGATACTATCTCTGTGACTTTCGAAAAAAAGGAATATTGCTCTGCCGTCTTTCTCGACATAGAGAAAGCATTTGATAGTGTCTGGCACAAGGGCCTATTATGGAAACTAAAACCGCACTTACCTTCCACTTATTTTTTAATTCTTCAATCCTACTTTCTTAATAGATTTTTCTGTATTTCCGTAGACTCTTCTGTATCTTCCTTCTTTCCCCAACACAAAGGCGTACCACAAGGTAGCGTCTTGAGCCCAATCCTCTATTCTATATACACTTCTGATATCCCTGAGCACCCTAATACCACCATTTATTGCTTCGCTGACGACACTGCTATTCTATCTTCTCACAAAAATCCTACTATCGCATCAATTGCCCTACAAAACCATCTTCATTCTCTTGAAAACTGGTTTGAAAACTGGAGAATCAAAATTAATAGTACAAAATCCACCCACATTAGTTTCTCTCTTAGGAAAGCCTCATGTCCACCCATAACGATTGCCAATAATCCAGTGCCTTCAAAGAACTATGTACGGTACCTTGGACTCTACTTAGACAAAAAGCTTACTTGGAACATACATACGAAATTAAAAAGACAAGAACTTACTAGACGATATAGCCAACTTTCACATCTTCTGGACTACAGATCTTCACTTAACTTACGAAACAAGCGACTTATCTACAACACCTTACTGAGACCAATATGGACATATGGAGCAGAACTTTGGGGTTCAGCAAAACAAACACACATAAACAAAATACAAACAGCACAATCAAAAATTATACGAAAAATTGTTAACGCACCTTGGTACATTTCAAACACTACTATACATAACGACTTAAACATCCCAACAGTAAAATCCTACATCCACGACAAATACACTACATTTCATTCTTCAACCCAAAATCACTCCAATCCTCTGGTTCTTTCTATCTCCTGCTCCCTGTTACCTGAGCAACGAAGATTAAGAAGAAAATGGCCAAGAGACCTACTACATCAATAAAAAAAAAAATCAAGCAATTACACCAAGACAATAAAAATACAACAAATTTGCTAGATGCGCAGCTGCGCAGGTGCAAATTGCATAAAATAAAATAAATAAATAAATATTCGATAAATATAATCAGATATTCGATTTTTCTTTTCAGCTCCGACATGGTCAACTCTTGATAATTTTTCAAAATGTTATATATACTATATAATTTTTAAAATTTTATGAGCTTGTTTTCACTGCACAACCTCTCAAATTATTTTATTTTGGTTCAATGTAAAATATGCAATGTATGTGGAAGAATTCTAAATCGAATATGTAAGGGGAAATATTCGATTTTATACACAAATCTTCGATTTTTCTTTACAACTCTGTCATGATCAACTATTTTTTTAAAATGTTATATATGCTATATATACTTTTTTTTTAATTTTATACAAAATATGAGAAGGGTGCCGATGCAAGGCAAGTTGACTGCTATGCTCAGTGAATGGTCATGCTTAATAATTTCAACCTTTTGGATCTTTTAAATCTATATCAGTTCTAAAATTAATATATTTAATTACGAATAAATTTCAATACTGATAAAATAAACAATAAAAAAATAATTGTTCTATGCACAGACGGATCTACGTGGAGGAAGGGGGAGTTTTCGGGCTGAAGCCCTCCTCCCCAAAATGGTAAAATATAACTATGTTTTATGAAAAAAATTATCTCTAAAATTATTATTGTTCGTCTAAGTACATTTAATAGGACTTCAACACCATTTCATATAGGTAGTTAGTTTCTTTCGAAGTAATTATCGTAATATATATGTATAGAAAAAAATCTTTAGGGCCGAAGCCCCCTCCAAAATTAAATCCTGGATCCGTTAGTGGTTCCATGAAGTAAATATGTTACATTTTCTTCTTTTTTTTTCTTTTCATAGCGATAATGTATCGACAAGGTGAGTATTAAAAATGGTAATGTTTTGTATAATAATTATAAGGCATCACTTGTCAGTCTTCTAAAATTATTTTGCAATCAGATATTAGGATAATAAAAATAAATAAAACCTTGAACAAATAAGGTGGAGAGAGAAAATTATAAAAAAAAAATAGATGATAACTGTGTAACACAAAATTAAGTACATATTCATATATTATAAAGAGAAGAAGTAATTTATTCATACCAAGTATCTATTTTATTATAGGACATACATTGATGATATTGATACATATTTAGTTTACTGTATTTGTTTATGTAATAAAACTAGGTAAAATACACAAATAACATTAATACTTCTTACTGATATTTTAAAAAATTATAAAGCACTCTTTGTTGTGGAAATTTACCAGCAGAGGTAGACACAATCGCCATCTTGGTTACAAGTACTCTTTAACTACCCCTTTTTTTTCATAACGAATGAGGTTTATAAAATAACTTTACTTAATTCAGTAGATGTACGTAAAAGTTACAATGGTATAGTTTTAGTATAGTATAGTGATAGTTTTTAGAGATTTTCAGAAGGTACTAGTTATAATAGACTACCACTAATTCAAGACAAAGCTTAGGCTTATAGTTTGAATGTTTACTTTTGTATGATATAATGATCATAAATCCTAAACAATAAATATTAATCCAGTTAAATGATCGAAAAAGAGGAAATCATTTCATAACATTCTTTTTTTTTACTTACTTTAAAACAGATGAACAGAATGAAGCACAAATTAACCGACTTTTAAGAACGAAAGAACTACACCGTCTCGGACGATTTTCCGCCAACGTTAGCAGTACTGCCACCGTCAAGGCAAAAAAAAAATCCAACTTCAACTTATTATAATATGCATATACTATGTTATTAATAAATAATAATTTTAAATGGGCCCTTACACGGTCAATATCGAATATATTGACTGTTAGAGGGACTAACAGGTCCAGGATTTAATTTTGGGAGGGGGCTTCAGTCAGAAATTTTTTTTTTTGTATAAATATATTAGGATATTTACGTCGCAAGAAAGAAAAAAACTAATTACCTATATGAAATGGTCTTTAAGTCCTATTAACTGTAATTAGACGAACAATAATACTTTAGAGATAATTTTTTTCATAAAATATGGTTATATTTTAACATTTTGGGAGGGGTTTCAGCCCGAAAGTCCCCTATCCCCTCCCCATGGTTTTAAGGATATATTGTAACAATTATATTGACATTTGTAATATGTATAGCACGTTCAAGAATATTACTTCAATAGTATAGAACGTGCAAGATGGATTTAAAACTCCACTATAATCATTTTCACAAAACTATTTGGGGACACAAACAGTTTTGTCTAAATAATTATCTTTATTTGTAAATAAATATAATTATTTAGATGAGGACCGCACGGGCTACACGTGGTTCACAATCACTTCGGTCGCACTCACTAGTGGATTCAGGATTTAATTTAGGGGGGAGGCTTCAGCCCGAAAGCTTTTTTTTTTTCATAAAAATAACGATAATTACTTTGGAAAAACAGAAAGAAACTAACTACCCATATGAAATGGTGTTTAAGTGATTATTTGAGTCATTTTAAAAATAATTACACGAACAATAATACTTTAAGAGGTATTTTTTAAATTTTTTTTCCATAAAATATGGTTATGTTGGAGGGAGGGACTTCAGCCCGAAAGCCCTCCCCCCCATAGATCCGCCCGTGGTCGCACTTGTTCATTAAACGCCGAAAACAGTCTTCCAGATAAATCTGGATTTACTCGGAATTCCATGAAAAAGTGTGACCAAGTGATTGTGAACCACGCGTAACGCGTGTGGTCCTCATCTGAATAATTAACTATTTCCTTTAATTTATCGTCGTAGCACATTATTATCAGTAATCAGGATAATCATTTTTAAAAATAGAGAAAATATCATTGCAAATTATATTTTTTAAAGAATAATAGCAATATTAGTGAAATGCATTATAAAGAATCCCTGACTAAAAACACAAAAAAATATGCCCAACAAATTCTTACATAGCGCGGAAAATTCGAAAATTTATTATTTTAAGTCACCAACAGTTTTTGCATCTGTAATCCAACAAAGTTATTAATCATAAGGTGCGTTTAGATTTTTCACAAACTATGGAGAATACAAATAATTTATTTTTGTTTTTCCGTTAACTAGTGTTTTTGTTTCTTGTTTTTGAAGTTTTCGATCAGCTCTGGGTATGCTTAGACACTTCACAAACTATGGGGCACACAAATATACATATTGTTGTTTCATTATGCTATTATTTTGGTTTCTTGTTTTTGATATTTTCCATCTGCTATCGGTATCAGGAGAAATAAAATAAATAGTTTGGTTTAGCAATAATGTCGCTGTTAGTTAAGTTAGATAATTGTGTTTCCCATAGTTTGTGAAATGTCTAAATGCACCTGTGCAGGGTCTATTACGGGATAACAATTTTTCGATCAAATCCCTTAACTAAGTTCAAACAGCACAAGAAAGAAAAAATGAAGTATTAAAAATAGGTTTACTTATTTTATTTATTATTAAGTTTATTTTGAGCCATCTCTCAAGTGCCGAGCTTATGAGCTTACTCTTGTCATTTTGAGCCATCATTAATGAATAAAAATAATTTTATAATTCTGGGACTAGTGTCTCTTTAGAACAAGTTACAAATACAGAAAGTATGTTAATATTCTGGTGTGTCCATAAACTACAGTTAAGTATTTACAGGATGATTACAATAAAATTATAGATAATAAAAAGATATAAAAATGTGTATAAATATGAAATAAACAGAGCAAGTAATTTAGAAAACAAGATATCAATGAATCACAAAATAATCAGAGTATCTGGGTGTACTTTGTATGTGGTGTGAGGTGTGAGGGAGAATGTGGGTGTACATATTAATCAATTAATATGAGTGATAGAAACAATGTAACCAAATTGATGCATATTTTGATCTAAATATATTCATTAAAAAATTGTTTGGTGGCATTGATGCTGGCCTTACTAATAATGGCGTGAGTCCATTTATCTATGTAAAAGAAATAAAAAAACATATACTCCATATATTATTTGTAAAAAAAAAAAAAAAGTTAGTGAGAAATTCTGAACTCATGTTTGTGTTAACTATAACCTAAGGATATGTCATTGAAAGATTTTTTTCTAAACATTTTATTTATGGATTATTTATTCGTTTGAAAGTAGTTTTTCTTTTTTAAAATTATTTATTTTTGGCATTACAGACCATAAAGATTTTTCACCATGTTAACAAGCCCTCTCCATCTCTGCCTACCTTGGGCTTTTTCTTTCCAGTTATCTGCATGCAGCTCTATTGTATCTGTGTATATTATATCTGTATTGATTCGAACTATCCGTCTGGTTTTGGCCGTCCAAGTGGTCTCTTTCCTACTATTGAGTCATTTATTGTTGTGTAGAGGTTTCCTGATGGACTGCTCCGTGCTACATACCTCGCCAATTTTGACCTTCTTCCCTCCATATCGTGAGATATTAATTGACCCAATTTCTGTAAACACTCCGGTTATCTTGCAGATTTGTCTCTGAAATTTTTCAATACTTCTTTCTAGGATGCTAGTTAGTGCCCAGCACTTGCAGCCATATATCAGAACTAATTTTATGCTCTGTCTTATAAATAATCAAAAGAAATTTTGAGTTAATGTAGACAAAATAAAATAAGATAAAACTCATACTTTATACATACATACGTATATATTAAACAGTTTCCTACATATATTGTTTTGTTTTTTTTCAGAGAAAGACACACTTGATATCTGGGTGGATGGGGCAAAAGTAGAAGCGACAGTAATTATAATTTTTTGTTTTGAAATTAGCAACATAATCTTATTTGACAATTGAGTTTAAATCACTAATTAGAAAAAAATAGTTTTTTAATTGATGGATTAGTTTAGAAACATTTTAATATATTGAAACATTTGTTGTGTATATACTGTAAAGGTTGAGTTTTTAGCATTTTTAATGTGATCGAAATGTATAATCGAATGAAACTTGAAATTATCTTGCTTCTACTTAAAGTGGAGCTTATTGGAATTCCATTTCACTTTTTCTTTTAAATATCAACACTTACCTCAATATTGTCAAATGTGATAAGCCAATAAATGAAAGCATATTATGTTTGTTGACGTAAAGCTCATACAATAATCTTATCGGTTTTTGTAGGGTGAATTTGTTGATGGAGGAACTGAAACACACTTCCAAGTTGGAAACACTTCAGCTTACATTAAAGCTGTGAGCAGTTGTAACAAAAAAGAAGGACTCATTTACACTCTTATTTACAACGAGCAGATAATACCACAAGAAACTGAAGAAATGTTTGAATAGTCATGGGATCTTTTTTTTTTTAGAGAAAAAAAATTATTACTATTATATTCATTCATATATAATTTTTTTTTCAATCAACTAACACTTCTTCACTAATTATACAAAAATTAAAACCACATTTAATAAAATAGATTTTATTTTTTGATGCTTCGATTCTTCATTCACTGGAATTATATTCCTCCTTACTATAAAGAAAAAAAAAAAAACTTGAGTTTATAATGGTGTTTATAATTGTGTTTAAATGGGTTAGATATAATATAAAAATATATTATTTATTAATAAATAAAAATGAAATATATTAGACTAGGTTTCTATATAAAAACACAATAAAACAGAAATAAAGATAACTTGAGAAACGAAAAAACTAGCTATAAACAAAATATTTTACTACTAAGGAAAATCAAAATATTTTGAAACCGACATCACAGAAATTATTGAGTAAACAATAGATGGAAATTTTCTTTTCTTTTGTTGTAAATGCCAGGGAGGAATTGGATACAGGTAATAAATAAAAACAAATCTGTTGATTTCCTTCTATATTACTTTTTTTGTCTTTTCTTCTTTTCTCCCCTTCCTTGCCTTTTAGGTTATACAGGATTTATCTCAGTCCAGGGAAGAGAGCGGGGGAATTATGCCAGAGTTAAAATTCTCTCCCGCTACGGGATTTGAACTTGTAAACTTTGGTTAATCACAGGTTGTTATGGGCAACGCATGTTTTACACACGCATTAGCTGGCTTGGCCAACTTGCCCCCTCCTGTATATGTCTTCAAAAATATAGAACACACTCGGCAAAGTGTAACTTCCAAATAGATAACATTGTGATGATCGGGATGATTTGTTATTCCCAACTACCATACTTCTAGTCTTTTTTACTTTCTATTATATCCACCTTCTCAAACACTTCCCATATAAGGGTCAGCAATTGAAAGTGGTTCCTTCTATCTGTGATTCAGCTTTTTAAATTACGCTAAGCATAGCTATATTGAAATGCAGATATGCGTATTAGTCTTCTGGTCATATGACATTTCATTATAAAGCAATAGATATTAAAGAGGTAAATATAATTTTTTTTAACTCCAACAAATGAAACTTGTGCACCTAAAGATGATTAGTCAGGTTTAAAACATTACAGAATAAAAAATACAAATAAGAAATATGGAAAGCCTTTGTACTAATAAGAAATAAATCTATTTTATTATTTATTATAAACTTAAATCAATTTCATAATAATTTTTAAACAAAATTCAATTTCATTTGGCCATCAGGTTGGCTAACATTTTTTTATTTACCAAATTACTATATAATTATAAAACATTATACTGTAGGTTTATAAAATTAGTCTCTAATTTATTTAACTACACTGTGAACAAAATTTAAGAGATAAGATTTTCAGGAACAAATTTCAAGCGAGACTGTATTTTATTGTTTAATACAGCAGTTATTAACTACAAAATTATAAAAAAAACAACAATTTTTTATTAAAATATGAAGAAATTTTAACTAAACATTAATAAATTTTATCTTTTAAATATATTTTAAGTCTATTGCACTTGGTAATCTAAAGATTTAATAAACTCATTGGTATTAATATACAAATTATTTACAAAAGAAATAAGTGAAGCAAAACACACTTCTATGTTATTTAATATATCAACTTATTTTATGAGACACATAATTGCAATACTGCTTTTAAATGTAATGCTAATAGAGGCAAGAAAAAGATGAGCCAGCTTTGCTGTAAAATACACATTTTCAAAATGTAATTTCACAATGGACGGAGATTATAACTCCAATTTTTGAGCAGAAAATAAAGACGGGACAGAATATTAAGCTGATGATGAAAAAATCCACATTACCACCTTACAACATCTTTTAAGGCTTAAAACTTAAGAGAAGTAATAATCATAGATAATAAATTCATTCCAAAGAGAAATAATTTTAAAAAATATGAATTAAAGAGAAAACAGAATATGACCAATATGGAAGAACAATCAATACATAAGAAAGGTGAAACAATAACAAGATTATTTTCATGTAACAAATAAAGATAAATATAGATAAACTTCTAATTTCCAATAGTTTAACATATATTTAATTGAGAAAAATATTTTTCAAAATTCATACAACATAAAACAAAATTATATTTATGATGTAGAGATGGTTGACCGTTGATATAATATGACAAGGAGTTGATCAGGGGGTGCGGTGAAATTAATACTAAATTAAAGAAGTGAGCAAAAATTAAATAATTCTACTTGTTTAATTTAGCATTAATTTGACCGCACCCCCCGATCACCTCCTTCTCAAAATTGTATTTACTTTCATCTAAGATTCATCACATCATATATAAAGTCTATAATTTGCCATTAAGTTGTCAATCATAAAAAATCAAATTCATTTTTAATTCAAGCTTAAGTAGCTATTTTGATACAAATGCTGTCAATTAATCGTTAATTAATTTTTATAAACAGTAATTTAATAAATTTTGATTACATTTATAAACCATTAATATTGACAGAATTAAATGAAACAACAATAATGGCACAAGATAGAATGGCATGCAGAGATTGAACAACTGTAGAAATATAAATCTAACAAAAGACGAAGGGGAAAAAACATGTTAAAAATAATAAGCCAACTTTTGGTCATACCCAAAAAATCAAAACTTTCTTAAAACATGCTAAAGGAACAAAGCAATATGAATTTAACAATAAAATAATTTTTAAGTACTATTGCATAGTATTTTAAGTTATATAACAGAACTAAGACTATGATCTTTATTTACAATCAAAATATCATAATTCAAGACTGATTTCGTAAGTAATTATTTTACGTTCTATAGTCTTTTTTTTTTTTAAAGATTAGTAAAGATAGCAATACATTTCTTTATCATTTCATAAGTACATTTTAAAAAATCGTACAAAACCCGACAAACAATAAGGAACATGAGGTAATTAGTAATTATTTAATATTACAGCTTTCCTAATATCACTCTTAGGGTAATGCGTAAAATGATAGGTCTCTATGATTAAAACAAACGAGACCAGGGCCAGAAAACTGTCAATGAGAAGAAAACAAAAGGTACATGAAAAAAAAATTCTTTTAAACATATCCTTCAAAACGTCCATTCACGAGTGAATATTATAAAACATACTTAATTAATTAATATCACTTTGTTATCAATAAACTTAATTCAAATTAATGTTATAACAACAGTTTTTGTTACTTAAATTAATTACATTTCATCACACAGTTCTTCCATCCTACATTTGACTGCCATTTGAACAACTTCGAGATTGGGATAGTCAAGCTCTTTTATCAAACAGAGGACTGCATTGAGTACATTTGTTCTCTGAAAAAAATTAAATAATAAAATCAAATTATAAATATAAAGAAGATAACTAAATGAATTAGCAAAATTAAACACCAGAAATGGAAATAAAACAATTGAAAAAATTTAGTTATAGATATTAAATAGTCCATTGGGATAATTAGGGTTGGTACTAAAAGTATTACTACTGGTACTAAAAGTATTAATACCATCCAGAGTAGCTTAATATATGTGCTGGTGGACGGTGCTGAGACTGTCGGAGTGTCCCTGGCCTGAGGTATCGAAGCTCTATTTTAAAACTTTGAAAAGGATCCCATTGTTAACTTATAAAAAGGAAAAAAAAAAAAAAAAAACGGGATCTAAACGTCGAATAAACACAGAAGCAATGCATATTTAGTAGTTTATTCAATAATTAATAAGTGAACTTATTCCCAATTAAATAATTATGTTTAAATTTAATACTCAAAGGTCGATTAAAGAAAAGTTGTAAAAATATTTTTAAATGTATATATGTTGGATAAGCAGATGATATAACTGTCCTTGGAAGTAATTGAGAAGACATTGAGAAACTTGCTACAATACTAATAAGAGAGGCAGAGAAGTAAATGAATCATTGGCCTACAAGTAAATGAAGAAAAACAAAGTATATGATAATAAGCTGAAAAGTCCATCCTAATAACAGGATCTGAGTGGAAAGAAAATCATTCCCGAGAGTATGACCTCAATGAATGACCAACAAACAGAAATAAACCAGCATATAACTAGCACAAACAGAGCTTTCTTCTCCCTCTCAAAGGTATGAAATCCCGAAAAATCTCAAACAGAGGTTGTACAAGGCTAAGATAAAGCCAGTTCTAATATATGGCTGTGAGACCTGGATACTAACCAGCACCCTAGAAAAAAGTGTTGACAGATTTGAGAGAAAAATTTCGATATCCGGATACGATAAGCGGAGAGATCTGGGATCAGAGTACTAACACATGGAGAGGAAAGACCAATAAAGAACTGCTTACCAGAACTGGTCAATCAATATCCCATGATATGAAGGCACAGAGATAAAGATGGGGGAGATGTAGCTCGTAACAATCCATCTGGAAGCCACTACGTAACAATGAATGCCTCAATAGAAGGCAAAAGATGGCCAAAAGTAGATGGATAGATAGAATCAACAAAGATGCAACAGAGCTGCGTGCAGATAAATAGAAAGAAATAGCCCATGACAGCCAGAGATGGAGCAGGCTTGTTAAGGCGACAAAAGATCTATATGGCCTGCATGCATATTATGCCAACATTATGCACAGACACACACACACACACACACACACACACACACACACATATATATGATTTATTAAAGACAAGAAATATAAAAAATAGAAAGCTCAAGTTTTTTTATTTCTTTTTTTTTAGTAGATTTGAAAGTAACTTCTCTAAAATATAGTACATTTAATGGTCCTTTCAAAAGTCCTAAAGTACAGAAGGGCGTAGAGTTAAAAAACAGTAATGTTTTTTAAAAAAAAACTATACCTGGTCACCATATCTATAAGGTTATTAAAAACTAAATATACATCTTTTTAATATATTGTTGAATTTCAAAAATGAGGATCACAGGAACTCAAGAACTATAATACATAAATGCAGTCGATTATCATTACAACCTGGATGGATCAAGGAGCAATTAAATCAATCTGTAGTAGTAAGTGTATCACTGAAAAGCATAAATAATTGGAAGAACTATAAAAATATATATGTAACAAAAGATTGATCCCTTATTGTTATAGATATAATAAATAAATAGAAAAAAATTAATAGTATATACTTTTCTGAAAAATATCAGTTACTTTAAATTGCTTTAAGCCGTTTTCTTTGCATTCTTACTAATTTGTTTCTGGCAAAAAAGGATTTTCTCAGAAATTAAGATGTGAGCAAAAGAAGTTTATTTTAAGAATTGTGAAGGTTCATTGGAAGACACTTTGTATAAATTGAATAAAATTTTTACATATCAAACAAGAAACATTTTAATTTTTAAAAATTATTTCTGGATGATAGCTTTTTAAGTTTTTTATTGCCAACATTTTAACCCAAACTTATGGGTTCTATTCATGGTGTTTGAACATCTTCTGTGTTGGTAAAACGTTTCGTAATATTAAATATTACATTTGTTAAATCTATTAGCCCTGATGAGGGCTAAAAAGCTTGGATTGAAACGTTTGCAATCAAAAACTTGAAAATTGACACTACGTCCTGACGATCAAATTAATTCTGGATTAAAAAATAGGCATGGATTACTATAATAAGAAGAAATGTACAAAACTCAACAAACGAATGAGGGAAGTTTAATTTGATTAAAAATGTTCTCATTTGCTTTCTAGCAGGGTGCAAAATATAAGATATGGTATAAAAAATTAACAAAATTATTAGATTCCAAAAGATACATTTGCATCTCTATTTTTTAAATATAATTTTAATTTTAAAATTAAAATAGTTTAAATCTATATATTTCTCTATAAAACATCCCCCACCAAATCATTTTTGGTTATTTGGTTTACCAACAGTTTGTATGTGTGTTTACAATGTAGAGAAATGTGTTAAGCCACCTTTAGAAAACTTCTAATTGATTTGAAAGCATTTCTGTTCCTACCACTACTTTTTAAAATAATAATAAACACAAATAAAATCCCAGGGTTAATTTTAGAGATGGCAATAGAAGAAACATGCAACAATAAATAGTTCTTAACTTGAAATCATAAAATTAATTTGATAATTAATAAATAAATTGATAGATGTACAGATCTTATTAATATTTTGTTATTAAAAGTTACCCTTTCATTTGGCCTCCTCTGAGGTGGGAGAGTGCAGCAATTTGGACAGTTAACAAGACCAAGTTCACCATCAGTCTGCAAAATAGAACAAAAATCACTGATAATTCATAATAAATAACATTTAATAATGAAGAGAAGGATGGTTGGGGTGACCATTCATAATAAAAATGTTAAAATAAATATTATTATTTATTTTTGTAATTTCTATTATTACTGATCACCCCAACCATCCTTCTCTTCACTATTCACTACAGTCAACCATCGACCCTCAACAATATTTAATAACATTTGAAAATCATTTAAAAACAGACAAATATACATTAAATTAACTTTGGTTAGATAGTTGGTTGATTTTTATGGTTTAGAGGCATAAACGATAAATAGACAAATTTAATTCCTGACACTACACAAGGAAAGTAGTGCGGATAAGGCAGAAGTACGCAAGCAGCCAGATGGCTAACACCCAAGCAGTAGACCTTTGCTCACCTCTAATAGTCAGAAGACGTGAGAGAATATCAGGAGCTATAAGTATGACATAACAGGATACACACCAAGACAAAGAATAAATTTCATATAAACTCAGAATACATTTTAAAATCGAAAATCTGAATCGTAGCAGGAATACTGCTGACAATTTGAGAGTTATAAATATAACACTTTCCAATAATATTTGATATCTAGTGTGTTTTCCAAGCGCCTATTATTATAATATTAATATATTTGTGTCTTTTATATTAAAATGTCAATTGAAGTGGAGTGGCCAACTAGATTAGTGCATGTGCAAGACACGTGTTGCCCAGCAACCTGATAAACTGAACATAATAAAGTAATTATGAGTTTAAGTTCCAGTGCCAGGGAGATTTTAACTCTGGAATTAATCCCCTGCTCTCTTCTCTGGTCCAGGAAAAATCCACTATAACCAAAGAGGCGAGAGAAAAAAAAAAAAAAAAAAAATGGAAAATTTGACTTGTATTTAATACATACTTGTAATACATATTTTAGTTCCTATTATTCTTTTATATCAATTGCTTTTCAAAGAAAAGTCACCAAAAAAATATATATATTTTTATTATATCCAAAAGCATTGGTTTTAGTTAAGCTATTTTATCAATTCTTTAATAGTCAAGAAGACCCTATTAAGTAGTCTTAGAAAGTTTTGGCTTTACATTATTTTCATAAATATGCTTGATGTATTTTAATTATCCTTAGACAACAAAAGTGCTCACCGAGGAAGTCTATCAAGCTATGGTTCTTATCCTAACCAAGTTCTTAAATTTTCTGGTAGCAGAAAATTTGATGAATATAGTAAGGATTTTGAATTTATTTATTTCAGGATTTAAAAACATGTTTAAAAAATCTTAATATTAAAAAAAGAAAATCATGATATTATTTTGCATACATTTTAAAATTATAACATTTTCCTGGTTTCTTTAATGTACAGTCACATTACTTAAAAAATTCAATTACAACAAACTGCGATAAAATTATATTGCTTTAACACAATCTAAAATTGCTCATAATAGAATAACTATAACTGCAAACAGATTGCATCAAACTTTTGCACAAGTGAAAGCCAAATAAACCAATATGTCAATAGATTACTTTACCTGCATGCATCAAACCTTACAAAGAGCAGACTTAATGAACTTACGGTTCTACTCCTCGGAAGCATTCCTTGAGCACGGTGATTTTGTTGTCTTGAAGATTGCTCCTCTTCATACTAAGTCAACAATCAAAATTAAAAACCATAACTCTAATAATTAAGTAAAGTATAATAAAAATGAATACGATTATAGCATTAGATACACATATTTTTTTTATTTGCACTTCAGACCATGAAGATCTAGGGCCTCCATGAAATTTATTACTTATAGAGCCTGGAGGAGGTTACCCAGGTAATGGTTTCCAAGATGCAATGGCAGCCTGGCAGCTCAACAAACTTCTCCTTGAGAGCCAATTCGTACTTACTAACCAGAATAAAATGGTCAATAATCATTTCTCAGGACCTCCAAGAAAGAACTAATAACTGCTCTAAGTGTTAATTGAACCTAATCTGTTATGAAGTAGGCACACTGGAACCTTCTTTCTACAACACATTTGGGAGAGGGTCCCAAGGTGCTCTGCCATTAGGCCACAACAAATTGGTTTAGATCAAAGGATTACAGCTACTCAGGTTCGATAGGCTAATAAGAACCATAATGTAAAATATCGTAATGGCCGAGTATGTTAAAGCATAAACTATGGAATCTAGAGATGCCAGTTTGTGCTTGTGTTGTCCTTGGTGGACCCATGGAATGAATTTTGACCCCATTTAATAAAATTATATAATAAAGTTGGAGGTCTAGCTCAATCCCTCGACAAAAAAAGTGGTAAACATAGTTTCTTCAACAATTAAATCAAATATTGTAAAATATGAAACTCTAGTTACATTTATTTTTCATTTCTATTTTTAAAGAAGCTCACAGTGAAAGAAATATTATAAAGCGGGTCCTCCTGGGCCCTCAAAACAGGAGAGCTTTGTTAGCAGACCATGCAGACTGGTGGATGATTTAAGAGGATACACTGGCTCAGTGCCGGCTGAAGCACCAATCATGATGATGATGAAATTTTAATAAAAATCTTGTTATTTCAAATAATGACATAATCTTGCAGCTTTCATTTGCAATTTGGTGATTTAACGAATTTGAAAGACAACTCTAAAATCCTAGTAGTAGAATAGATTCATTTTCATGATAAGTCGATTTAACTGCTTATTCACATAAGGTATAATAGATACAAGGAGGATTCATTTCTATAGATAGCTAACTTCGCTAACAGTAACTTATTTGCTTCATAAACATAATAAACAAAAATGCTTAATGACTCTAGATTTTTTTGTTTTTTCACAATCTACAAAGCAACATCTAAACATGTCATGTAGGGTGTTGAATCAGTTTTGTTGAATATCTCTTTTTTATGTTTAGTAGTAAATAAAACAACAGGTGATAGTGAAAATAATTTCAAAGCTTAGTGAAGCAAGATATTTCTACAGTCCAACCAAGCAAGAACAATATTATCAGGAAGGCCAGCAGGTTGTTGTATCAATCCTGTTCTTTAAAAAAAGTTAAGATCACTAAAAGGCACTTCTCTAGCTTTAAATCAATTTACACAAAACATTTCAATACTCTAACTTTATTTGAAGGTGCACAAAAATTTAAAAACTGAAAAAATCTTCTTGGACATGCCAAAATTTCCCCCCACTTTTATGTTGTTTTTCTGCCTAGAAAACCATACTACAACCAAAAAATATTCTAAAATGAGTACAAATAATTTTGTCAACTCTTGAGTTAATAATTGATTCAAAGCCAAAATATTTCCTCTAACAATGCTTAATTATTATTAAGATCTTATTTTGAATAAAAACAGTATCATCAAAGTTTGTTTTTAGTTCATCTGCCTTATACCCAAGAAAATGGCATTTCAAATGTTATCTAGAAAATTTACTATCTAGTACTTACACAATTAAAAACTAAATTTCACTATGTTTTCAAATTAAAGAAATCAACTTACAATGAAATAGACAAAATTGTAATCTGCTCTTATAATTAAATCATAACACATAAATAAGTTTAACAACAAGAGCCCCATGAGGAGACTGAAGAGCAGTTACTAGACGTGATTGGTTTTGGACGTTGTCTAATTCTGAAGCAACTGTGGCCAGCAATATGATGAAATTGTTTTCTTCAATTACCGCCTTTCTCATAGGTTTAAATGCTGGAATTTCTGGCATATAGAGCTACAAGAGGTACAACCAAATCTATTCTAACCAGCTTAAGCAAATTGAGATTCATTTTGTAGGTCTGCCACAAAATACATTTCAATCCGTCCAGGGCGGATCCAAAGTGGTGTACCTAGACTCGAGAATGTTAAAGTTTAAGGTTTAAAAAACTACGCCATCACAATCTCTAATATGATGATAATGTCAAATTATTTCCATAAATAAAGTTTATTAACAAATTTTCTAAAGAGTTGAGTATACACATTGATTCAATTTCAAAACAGGGCCCCCGTCCCCATCTTAAAAAGTCAACTAATTTTCAATCAAGTGAAAATTTCGTATACAAGTCAGGACTTGAATTGGATTCGTTCATCATAGGAAACCATTCCACTATTTACTAAGCTACCTTCTTACTCCAATAAAATCATAGTAATATTAATCAAACAAGCTATAATACTTGAACCAATAATATTTTAAAAGTAAAATAATTTTGATTGTTTTAAAATTAAAAACAATCAATCAAGAACAATTTAGTAGTTAGTTAAGTACTTGGAAATAGACAGAACAAATGCTCTGTATGCAGTATCACTCTTGCTTGTTAGAACTATGCTTCTACTGCATTAATACTGTGTAGTACATTATGCTGTGCAGCTAATAGCAAATTTACTCTGTAACTAATAAAGAAACCGCAAATCCATACTCAATACAATAATATAAAACTATTAATAAACTAAAAATGTACAAATGATATATTTAAAAGTTACAAATTCTCAGATTCTAAAAAAATAGTAAAAGAAGCACAAAATCCATTTACGATATACATTCAAGTTTCATAATAATCGGATTACCTTGTAGGTTATAGTCAAAGGTTGTCTATGGTTCTGTTGGTTTTGGTTGATTTGTTCTGAGTAAATATCCCGAGCATCTCCGCCTTCACTATTGTTGTATGAATTCTGTTCATTTACTTGCTAGAAAAATGAACAGAATAAAAAAATTTGATTTCCGAACTTTTATATTTAATTTACATAAGTATATACATATAAAATATAACAGAAATAAAATAAGGGTATAAAAAAAAACTATGGAAGTTGTTTTATAAATACTTTTAAAAATACTTTGATGAAATATATATAGCATTACTAAATTACTTTAATTATAGCTACATTAAGTTTTCTCTTTTATTTACAGTGTTATCATATACTAAATATAAAATACTTTCCTTTAATAAAAGAAAACAACAATCAAAAATAGCAATTCTAATAAGAAAATATTTAAATTACCTCATAAGAACTGCTGTAGTCTCTACTTCCTCTTTGATACCTAAAATGAATAGAAAAAAAAAATACTTAAAAAAAATGCAAATATTTAAAATCTAACTATAAACAAAGAGATTTTAAGAATCCATAACAAGACAAATTTATTGAATTACTCAAAACATAATCTATATTTATAATCAACTCACATAAAATTATAAAAAAATATATAAATATGACTGAAATTATGTCATTTTAATTCTAAATAAAAAGAAAAAATATGGTTTACCAAGTAAAAACTTACTGAACAGGTTCAGGACTATAATTGTTCCTGGTTCGAAAGTCTGTTTCTGGAGATGGACTTCTTTTTTCCTATTTAAGAATAAAATGTAAGAAAACATAAAAGTACATAAGATTGACTTTTAATAACAAATATTAAAAATTAAATAATTTAAGTCTACTTTCAATAACTCAAATTTCTTTATTACTCATTTTTTTTACCGAGTCAACTATATTACCTAAATTTCAACCCATTGCAAGAGATCAATTTAAAATAAATTATAAATAAAATATATAATAAATTTTAATAGTGCTATTAGTGATTGAATAATTATTTATTATTCATGCCAGTGAGGCTAGAATGTGGGACTCACTATTTATTATACATTAGACATTTATGTGCACATGCAGGTTCTAAATTATTAATATTATTTACTTACTAGCTACTGGTAACAAATAATATTCGTAAAAGAGAATACCAGCCATAATGGACAAATGTAAGAATGAAATACTGTTCAAATTATCAAAATTAATGATACAACCTTTAAGAATTTAAGTTGTTGAACTGAAAAAAAATCTCTATCCATTTCATGTTTATTTTAACAGCTGAAATGACATATCAGGTTAACACAAAAATCATACTACATGAAAATAAAAAATAGTAAAAATAATTTATTAGATTGCATTATAAGTGCTGGTTGTGGAGTGATGGTTTCATAAATATAAAAAATAGTCTCTCTGATAGAAATCTTTATTACCATGCACTAAGCCACAGGTGGGGAATTTGCAGCCATCGTTAGTTGCAATACTCAGGAGTGGGATTAAGTTGAAAATAAGTATATGGATTTGTATTTACTTATCAATACAAATAGCAACAATATCGCAGCCTTCATTATAACTGCCTAATCTTACTGCGGCCCCTAATGATAAAAAATGTTTCCCACTGATCCAACGCAGGGTACATTTGTCAATGTAAATAAAATACTTTTTTTATCTTACAATTTTTATTTAAATATCTATTGTGTAGCTGTATTCCTATTATGTACTTCTTATATATTGTATTTTGCATTTTATCAAACTCATTACGATCATATTTACATTTATCTGTAACAGTTTTTAGAGCTATTACATGTTTTTGTAGGTAACATTGCAGGCACTGATGAAGACCGAAAATATTGATCTAAACATTGGGGAAATAAATAAAACAACAGAATAATTTGTGTTTTGATAACAATGCAAACGATTACAGACTAATAATCCCCTGAATTTTACTGTAGACGGTTAACTATCATTTTTGCATAATGTAAAATATAAAATCCACCAACTATAAGCAGTTCACTAATTTTAGGTTTGATGTAGTTTCTTCATTATTAATACTGGCTGAGTTCCACTTTAATAAAAATAAAATATTATATTTTCAATAAATTTAAAAGAATGAAGAAAGAAACTATCTGCTTAAAATCCCACCTCTTTGATCACCGGTGGCCCTGTGTAAATATAATCATCTTCATCATCTGAGTTTGAATAGTATTCCTATAAAAAAAAAATAAAATAAAAAATACAAAAACTTATATAAAATAAAAAATATATAAAAAAGATGAAATTTGAATATAATAGCTAACAGACCAAAAATGAAATGAAATGAAATATCATCTAGAAATGATGGTAAGTTTGAAACACTCATTGAAGCTTTATTTAAACCATCATATACACCTTAAATAAAGTTTAATAAAGGCTTGAACAATTATTCAAATAATGCCATTCAAATACACTGCATAACATATAAAGCAGAAATGATAATTAAAAATTTATAATTTCAAGCTGAAAATTTAATGCTGGTAGCTAAGAACAAAAATAGAAAAGAAAATAACCTTTCTTATTATCAAGGAAAAGAGAAAAAAGCATAAAGAAAAAAAAATAACAACACTGCCAATTAGGAAAAAAAAATATTTTATTCAATATAACACCTTAGATAAAACCAAATGGAAATAATGCACCGCCAAAGAAAAAGATTAGACTGCCAAGAGAAAAAAAAGAAAAAGTAAAGTATGAGTGAATAATTAAAGGAACTAAGATCTACATATTCAATTATCAAAGATAGAAGAACAAAAGGAATAAATAACAAACAATTTTTTTTTCTAATACCTCATACAATTTACATTTTTCAGGGTGTCCTAAGTTTAAAAAAAAAAAAAAATGTATATAAAAGAAATGTTGTTCTCTCCTCATCATACCCTATTTTCAACGATAAGTAGTGGTTGATTTAATGTATAAAAGAATGTAAAAAGTTTAAAGGAAAAATCATGTGGAATGATGCTGGAAACAGTAACAGTACAATCATTTGTATAACCGTCAAAACTGTTCTTAAGCTTAAGTAAGTTCAGCAGTTTTTTTTTTGTTGGTACGTTTTGAATTTTAAGGACCAAATTAAATATCATACTCCGAAATAACTTTTAGATATCTTGTTGATGATCGGATTCCTACTATCAGTTATATTTTTCAAACACTGAATTATGTCCACAGATTTCGATAACTCGACATTTCTACAGTGTGGTGCGGGAAAGACAAAGGTACAATACCAACAAAAAAGCACTTCATATATTTACACTTTTTTATATCTGGCCACTGTATATAAAATAGTTTTATTTTTCTGTAATTTATTTTTTAATAATTTAAATAATACGAGAAATTTTACATTTTAATTATATATGTATATATTTAATATAATATACTTTCTGTGGTAGGATTTAATATATTAAATGTATTTAACGTACAATAGAAAATAATTTGTAATTTTAAAAATAACGATTTTTTAATGTATTAATCTACTTTTCTTTCATCTGTCTTTAAACATTGTATTTTTCATTTAATCTTTTCAGACATTGAGAATTGATAGAACTTTTTGACAATAAAATATTGATTAATTTTTAAGACAGTTTATGGAAAAATATTCTGTGTATATCATTTACTTTACCATGTATATCATTCAAACTACATTTTTTTTTTCAGTAATGAACAATAATATTTTCATTTCCATTTCACAATTCCGATGTTCTTGAACTAGATGATTATAATATTTAAGAAGTGTAGAAATGGTAAGCATTCATGAATTTTTTATCCATTGTAAATGACCCATTATTTTAATTAGAAATGTATAGAAGTTGTATTATTAAAATCCAAAAAACAATTCCAATTGTTTCCAAATTGAATATAATTAGAATTACAGTAAAATAAAAAGAATCACCGTAATAGTTTAAGAGGTAGTAAGTAAAGCGCACTTACATTCAAAACATTGTTTGGTGGAGAGTGGAGAGAGAGTGTGTATGTAGTAATGATAAGTGCGGTGTAGTTACTTAATAATGCAGTGAGTGAGTAGTGGTTGTGAGTGTGTTAGGCTTGCATCGTGCTTTGTGTTAATTTATAATCTAAAAACAAAGACTAAAATATTATATTTCAATGATAATTACAACTTTTATCAGTAGAAGTGGTATTTTATATTCATAAAAAAACATAAGTAGTAAAATTAACTTCAAGAAATTCAAAAATAAAATTAGTCTAAAAGATTGTAGTTCATTCATTGGTATGATTTAAATGTCAACAAAACAAAAAGAAAAATTACCATAATTTGGCTCATCACATTAAAAATTTACTTCTGGTATTTCGACTGATAAGAATTATTTTCAAGTTTGAAGTAGTCCTATTGCCTGTTCAGCAAATTAAAAAAAGAAAAACATAAAACATATTGAGGAGATGACAATTAAAATTACAATATACATTTAATAATTAAATTAGATAAAGCAAAAAAAAAAAAAAAAAACAGGGCCACAGAGGCCATGCTAACCATTCAGGATCTAATGGTCATCACAACAGGTTACCTAATTAACAACAACTAAAATGCAAAGAATATGAAAAATATATAACAACAGGCAAGGATTATATTATTTTATAAAAAATAAATGCTGAGAAAGGAGAAATAGAACAAACAAATTCACCGTGAAAACAAACTTCTTTGTTTTTCACTAATTAGTTGCTTATAATTCATGGAAAATTGCATCTCTTAGAGATTTTAGGCAGCATAGATTTAGGCACAATGGAAAATGGTAAAGAATCAATGGTAGGTATACTACTGAATATAAGGTAAAAAAATGGAAAATAAACAATGCACAACAGCTAAGTCAACCTCTCTGTCTGCATAGTTATTTAAAAAGTAAATAATAATATAATAGGTTTCTTATAAAGTTTCTTGTTGCTATTAAAACCACAATGAAAATTCTATAAAGACGCAACGTCATCAGTCATAAAGTTTTTTCTATGTGGTCTTATTTAATTTTCAACCAATGTTCTGAACCAGAATATATTGTAAAAGCAAAATATTTTTAGCAAAAAACAATAACTTATCTTCACCCCATGTTACCAGTTGAAAGATGTCTACAATACTCTCCATCTACTTATATGATATTTTAAAATTTATTTTATAATAGTCTTGTGATATAAATATGATTTCTAATAGTAAAACATATCTAATTATGATTGCAAATAACAGCTTATAGACAATAACCTTCCTGACACTAAAATCTTTTTAAAATTAAATTTTATTATTTTTTTCGCTGACAAAATAAAATAAAAAATTACAGCTTTTATAGAATAACAGAATATAAAATATTACAAAAACATTTCAACTGCATTAAAAGTTAGGCACAGAAACATAACAGCTTTCTGATATTTTTCATTAAAAAAAAATGCTATGAACTTAGGTAATAGTTCAATGAATCACACAAATTATTAAATCGTAAAACTTGAAATAAAAATATCCTAATAATAAGATCAAATATGTTTTCTGACTATTGCGAAATAATAGTTCAATTTAAAATTTGAACTTTTTTTAAATATATTTTTTATTATTGAAATTTACAACTGTATAATGATAAATACAACTAGTAAATATGAAATAAGTAACTTGACATGTACAACATGAAGAGAAACTACCCATTAGTAGCACTCCATAAATTTGAACTTAAAAAGAAATAATTTTGAGTTCTACCAATGGGTAGTTTCTCTTCATGTTGTACATGCCATGTTACAAATTTCTCATTTACTTATTGTATTCTCTATGTAATACAGTTGTAAATTCCATTAAAATAATAAAAAAAAATAAAAAAAAGAAATAACAATAAATTAAGTAGTAAATTAAATGAAGTGAATGAGATTAATAAGTGAAATACAATAAAATAAGTGAAAGCATATATTAAACATGCATAATATGGCATCCATCACCTTGCACTTATATTGAAGCATATGTATTTACAAAATTTAACGTTGGTGTTCACTTAGCAATTAAAATTCTAATTTTATAATCATATGAAAGAGCCAAAAACTGTTTGAAAATAAGAAAATTATTATCTTAAGAAAGTTTCATGAATATACAATTTTTACTATTATGGTATTTTTTTTTATAGATAGAATATTAAAACATCATAAATACTGATTATATCTATAATTAGGTTTGCTAGTTTTCTTATAATTACGTTCTCCTACAAAATCAGGTACGGAAAACATTAAAAATATTTATTACAATATTTTAGGAGGATTTGAGGAGTTAATTATCAACAAACTATAGATAATTAGTTTTAAGAAAGATATATTGTTGATATGTCAACTTCTATTTATTATTTTATATAATGATTCTAAACAGTATTCGGCTAGATCAAGTGTAAGCACTACTACAAAATAATTTAAGAATAAATATTCTTAAAAATTGAAATTTAGATTCTTTAGCAAATAGATCATATAAAAACTATACCTGTAAAACATCTGGATGAATAAGGGGCTTTCCAACCCTCTGAGCCATTTCCATTTCAGATGTCTCAACAGGAGTATTATCCAGTTTTTTAAGTTGCGGAAGAGCTCTTATGACGGCTAATCTATATCTGAAAATAAAACTAACTATTAAAAATAATCAACATTTTTTCTTTATTAAGTATTTGAGTTATTAAGAAATATATTCAATACATAGAAATTAGTATATGAGAAGTAAATATTAGTTTACAGTAAACCCAGAAGAAAAGTGCCCACGAGTCTGAGGAAGATCTGAATGTTATATCTATGCTATTCACATCACTAGGCTGCTCTCTGTATGATATGAAAAGTATATCAAATGATAATAACTATTGATCTTGCAGTAGAGAAAAAAGAAAAACAGATAATATAATAATTATTTATTTATTTATTTAGTATATATTTATAAACTATTAAAGTTTAAACAATTATGATCTTTTATTGAGATAAAACTGCATTTTTTAAAAATAAACGATCTTTAAACATTTAATCCCATAATTAACTTTTCCATGATTTTTTAGAATTTTTAATACTGTTTCCTTGAGACACATCTGATTGAGAAAATAAGATTTTAGAAACAAAAAAATTATAAATATTATAAATACGTAAAATATTATATTATTGACTGATGTAGGTGAAAATTATAAACCACTTAAATTTTCCCCTGTACCATACTTTTTTGTGAGGTGATAAAAACGTTTTCTATTCATAAAAACCTAGATTGTAATTTCTGAAGACTTTTAATTTATTTTGAAATATTCAAGAACATTTAAATAGCAATAATAATACATTTTTTACAAAAAATTTATAAGTATAAATGTCTCCAACTAGTGCTGAAACCTAGCGGCAGACAAATAAACTAGCTCACCACAGTGAATTCCCGCCATATAACTTACCATTATCACTCGAAAGTTGTTCTATGTGAATACTTCAAGGAAAGTCAAAAGGTATGCCTCACAAGTTTATTTATTAAGATTAAGATATATGTAATAATTTAAATGTTAGGCAATCATTTTCATATTGTAGAGCAATACATTTCCAGTTAAATGGTCAAGAGTATAGCCTGTGAAGGCAAGGTAATACCTGTCCTCTTTCCAACATAGAAAAATAAAATAATAAATATAAACATATTTCTCAAGAACCGATGGACACGATTCAGTGGTTACTAAATACATTTCTCTTCGATATGAAATAATACTACTGATTTGTTCAATGAAGGTTTTTGGAAAGACGTGATACGCAAAACTGTTAAACCTAGAAAAGATTTTACCAAGAAATTGGAGTTCAAGAGTGCAGATAAGCCCCTCTAAATTATTTTTAAATAAAATAAAAGTCAAAGACTAACATCGTTAAATACATCCATTTAACCAAAATTTAAAAGGCTCTATAAATAAATTAATACCTTTAATAGTAACAACAAAATTAAGAACTCGAATGAAAAATGTGGCCAAACTTAATGGAGACCCGTAGTGAAGTTATAAAACTCAAAAGTAAATAAACCATTAATGCAATTTTCAAAAATATATAAAATATTTAATAAAAAAAACAACATTAATTTGAATACTCACTGTTCACCTATGTCCAAACAGCAAGGGTTGTCTTCCAGCCAAAGACATTTCAGTTCTTGGAGACCTTGGAGATAGCAAACTTGGTTTAAGTCTTGAATATTGTTTTTTCTGATGAACAGATCCTGGAGTTTGGTGCAAAACTGGAACACCTCCAACGAATCAATATTGTTCACACTGAAAAAAACAAATAATAATTTATTATCGCACAGATTAATAGAGACAAATATTAACATGTTTTATGAGAACTACAATTAACTTAATGTATATCACTTTAGCAAAGAATGATATGAAAATAATATAAAAGAAAAAAAGTTAACAATCTTTCAGAATAAAAGTGACATCAGGAGATGGAAAGGAGATTAGAAATTATTTGTAAGACTATGAGATCAATTGACATGACAAAGAAAAATCGGAAAAGAATTGGGAATTACAATTATTATAATTGTATGTATATATATATATATATATGTATATACAATTATAATAATTAGACCTGAGTAATGAGTGAGTCATAATTGATTTAGAAAAAAAAAGTGGTAGATACTTTTAGTGCATTGCGAAATTCATCCCGCAGGCATTGAAGTGTTAGGGTATGTCAATGTTCAAAACTAATAAGCTATGATTAAGGCGAAGCTTGTAAAACTTTTGACAAATAAAAAAAAAAAACTTCAGTCTCTTTATTGCCAGTTAAGCCACAGTCAATACTTAGTCTGCTGTGGTGAGACGTACTATCCTATCCTGTCTTTATGAGATCTTATCTTTTCCTTTCTAGAAGCCTAAATTCAGGAAACTCGGCCGGTTAGATATTTACTACCATTCCTGAGAACATATTTTTCCAAGGATAACAATCCTAGATATCAGTGAGACATTGTAGGCCACCTTGTTAACTATTAAGGAACCGAAGAGAGAAGTAAGGCGAGGTGGATTGTGTCATATCCTGGCTCAGGTAGTGATGCAAGGAAGGTGTTCCCGACCTCTCGAAGATCAGCTTCCAAAATGTCAAAACTTTATTTTGGGCATTTCTGTCTATAATGCAAGGATAAAATATGAACGAGTGTCATTTTCGGTATTGCATAATGATTAAAATAAAAATTGATTAATCAACAAAACATCAGTTATCCAAGACCGCCGTCAGTAAACAGTATTTTTTATATTCAGAATATTTTAGAACATGTATTTTTAAAATCGTCGTTATACTACTAAAGTCACTAATTTATGATGGAGCTGAACTTTAAAAACTTAATTTAAACTTTAAAAGTAATATTTAGGTGAATTTCTATCTGATTTATCCAAACCAAAATTTTGTAAGTGCATAATATGCTGATTTTACTGTGGGAAAATTCATTATTATTATTGTCATATTGCCGTAATTTATCTTATTAAATACAAAAGATATAATTTATGAAAAGCGCATGTATACATACATAGCCTGAGCATTCTTCGCTTAAGTAGTAGTACATTATGCATGTACAGAAGTAATCGTAACTTTCCGACCATGTTCGGACATATTCGGTAATTCTCGGAAAGCCCATCTTAATAATCCTGATTTCTTCTTTAATTAATTATCAAATGCTTACTATAGTTTTTATTTAACTATTTATTATTACTAATAACAGTTTGAAATTGTTAATCATTTTAAATAAACCAAATTAAATGTATTTTAGAGGGAAAAAAATCAATAAAAATGGTAGCGTATTTCAAGGTGGATAATACTTGATTTTAACCATCACTTGACTTTATATCGATAAAACAAGTTTATCAAAATAGTTGAAGCCGTTTTTCAGAAAACTTGTAAAAATGTGTAAATTCGATTATAAAGTGAAAACATCCGGTTGGTCGATTTTGGCGAAAAAGTACGATTTTTCGTTTTTGAGGTAGACTGTTCACACATATACACGAGAAGACCATTTCGCAAACCCTGATAATTCGGTACTTCAAACATTTAATTCCGTTGAAAAATCGGATTCGAATTTTTTAATGATCGTATTTGTTTCTATTACTACATATTTAATACATAGATAAGCGAAAGTAAATACTCAAATTCCTGAAAAAACATGTATAGAGTAAATACTGTTTGGTCTGATACATAGATAACACAGACCAATGTCGCTGCGACTGAACCAACATTTACACAATGTTCTCTATGAGTGCATTAATGAGTCAAACAAACAACAATTGATAAGGACGATTCATATTTAAGGACCTTAGCAGCAAGGCGCAGGAATTAAAACAATTTCATAACAAAATTGACTTCTACAGAATTAAATAGATATTAGTTATGAGACTTTATTCCTGTGTCCATACAATTTTGATGTTCTTACAACACATTTTTTTTTTCAATCACCTATTTCATTTCTAGCAATTTCGTTGCTTTTTAGTTGTTTTTTTTTTTCACTTCTATTGTTATTTTTATGAATAATGACGTTTTGTTTAACGTTTTTAAAAAAAAATATTGTATTTCTTTTAAATGTAAAATGCTAAAAAATTCAAATACGACTGTTTTTTTTTTTTTTAAATTTAATATCTCTTTACTAACCTCAATATACCTTATTTATCTAGGCTCTAATACATTAGAGGAATCGCTTTTTATTAATTTTTAAACGTTTTAGTAGGAGGTTGAATCTCTTTTGCTTTGAATTAAAAATTCATAACGATATGAAATACTACTTATAAGACTCAAAATGCTGGGACAAAGATGCCTGGGTCTTAAAGTTTTCTTGTTTATTTTATTTTTTCATTAATCCTCATCGAGATTAATATTAACATATATTGGATGATATTAATATTATAAATAAATAAAAATAATATTATTTTAACTTAAAAAAATCATATCACTGTAGTCAAAGAAAATAAAAAATATTTATTTTTTGTGAACAATTTATTAAACAGTTAAAATGGAAAAAATAATATTTCAAATTAATTATTTCATTTTCAGAGAAAATTTTAAAAATGGAACTTAAAGTCTCCCTTTTCTCGTAAGAAATCATCAATCAAAGGTACTATAATACCTGGATCAATGAAGTTATACATGCATTTATATATATTTATTTACTACAAAAATTTTAATTTGAAAATGTTATAGTTAAAACCATATTCAAACTTTATTAATCCATTCAAAAAGTAGATGAGTATCATACCTTTGTTAAATACTTATTCAATTCGTAGAAATATATATTTAACGATAATTCTTATAATTATTAACGAACTCGATATTATCAATATGTTGTATACTTTTTAATTTCAATAATGAAACACAGATGTATACAAGTTTCATACACAAACATCAATCATTACGTTTATTTCACGGTCACAGAGAGAATTTTGAATTCGGTAGCGGAAAATATTGAAAAGATTCAAGAGAAGGTTCTAACTGCGCTACGACAAAACTTCTAAATTAAGATTTAACTTTGAGTTTTTATATATTTACACATACTCAGAACAAAACGGCTCGACTGTACGGGCAAGGCTAGTAGGAAAACAGAACGATACATCGACTTGTTTGTTGATTCGATTAACGATTTGATCAAAACAACTGTTTGTGTCAATAAACGTTTTCTATTTTCTTTTAAAATACTTCTTTTTTTTTTTATCTTGTAAGCATTAGCTCTTTTTAACATTCAACAATCATTACAACTGGTACTTGACCCTGTCTGGTTCTGTAAAATAGATACACCCCTAAATAATATCTGAACCTCATCGAATCATACATTTATCAGTCTTAGTGTTGAATAGACTATCTTGATAATTATACATAGAATATTCGAACAAACGATTGGCTGATATCGTTGAATGTATTAAGGAAAGCTATCTAATGTGAGAGTTGATTTATCATTTCACTTGATTTATTTTTGAGCAGTTAAATAAAAATAAAATATTGTAACATCAAGTTCAAATACTATTACTTAATCAATATTAAGTCATTTAAAAAATAATAAGTTCGCACAATACCATAGACAGTTACTTCATCTATAGTAGAATCGTAGCATCTCTATCCCGGGCTTAATTGGGTTCAGTAAAAGCCCTAGATAAGGAAGTTTTAAGCAATAAAGTTGAAACAAGTTCTAGAAGTTGGCAAGGCAGGGCCAATTAAAAAGTTTGCCTTAATTAAGCTCAGTGTCATAGAGGAGCGGAGATGTTTCCATCAGCCTTGACACTGGCTATATGGGTGACATCCAATCGATCGGTCAACAACTTTATTTTTCATACTCTCCTATATATATATCACTATATGAACAATATACCATAAATAATAATCTATTATTAATATTATATCTATTATTATGTACTCCTCATGAATGTATGGCATGAACATTTTATGTAATCAATAGATTTTCTTGATAATAATTTTCATTGAAAAATCAAAAATTTAAATTCATGTAAGTACACAATTGTTTATACGAAAAAAACACGTTTCTCTGATATTACCCATACTTCGAATCTATTAGAGAGATGAAGAATTGAAAAATCATGCTAGTGTTCTCTTTATATCTGTTTTATTTAACTTTCTATGATTTTGAGAAACCTGTTACATTAAAAATTCATATAGCATAAATAATAATCTATTTTATGTACACCTAATGTGACATAAATATTTAATGTGATGAATACATTTTCTTGATAATTATCTAATGAGTACTGCTATGGAAATAAAAAATTGTTTAAATTTGAGCTATAATAAAATTCTAATGATAAGGTAAGAAAAATTCGAGCCTTTTTTAGTGTTTTTGACCTAATTTTCATTGATACATAAAAAAAAATTTAATTCATGTAAGTACACAATTGTTTATACGAAAAACACGTTTCTCTGATATTGCCCATACTTCGAATGTATTAGAGAGATGAAGAATTGAAACCTCATGCTAGCGTTCTCTTTATATCTGTTTTATTTAGCTTTCTATGATTTTGAGACACCTGTTACATTAAAAATGCATTTACCATAAATAATAATCTATTTTATGTACACCTCATGTGACATAAATATTTAACGTGATGAATACATTTTCTTGATAATTATCTAATGAGTACTGCTAAAGAAAAAAAAAATCGTTTAAATCAGAGCGGTAATAAAATTCGACTGATAAAGGAAGAAAAATTCGGGCCTTTTTTGTGTTTTTGATCTAATTTTCATTAATAAATAAAAAATTTATATTCATGTAAGTACACAATTGTTTATA